AAAATTACCCATATCCTCACGCTGGATTCGGTACCACTGCCGAAGCACATTTTAGAGGCTGGCTTCCTTACAACAAAATACATTCAAAGTAAGTGGAGCCGGACGTTATTGCTCAAGATCCCAATTGAAGTGAAGTGTGCCATTTTAGTTGCTGACATGCCGCGCGAAGACATATTGCAGCATCTAGAAGGCTGCGTGAACTTTATTAGTTCAGCTCTGGATCAGCAGGGCATTGTGCTCGTTCATTGGTAAGCATGTCATGTTCACATCGCCATCCGAATCAGCTGCAAATCAGTTTATAATATTCCGTGTCCTACCTGGCCGTTAGCTATTTTGGAGTAAGCCGTAGCACCTCGACGGTAATTGCCTATATGATGAAACGACACAATCTGAACTTCCAACCCGCCCTCGAGCTGGTCAAGGCCAAGCGACGCTTTGTGCAACCGAATTCAGGCTTTATTAATCAACTGAAGCTGTTTCAGCGCATGGGATGCAAAATCGACCCCAACTACCAGCGCTACAAAATGCATCGACTGCGCCTTGCTGGGGAGCTAATGCGAAAGGCAAAAATTTTACCACAGAGTTTCCACAGTGTTGTGCGACCAGATCCAGACATAACGCGCGAAAATCCAGAGCCAATTGTTTTTCGTTGTCGTCGTTGCCGTCGCGTTCTGGCTTCCAAGTCGCATGTCCTCGAGCACAAACCGCGGGACAGGCCCCCTCTGGAGGGATCACCGTCGGCTGTCCGCAATGAAGATTCCAGCCGACATACGCCAGCCCAGACCCAATCGGAAAATAAAAGCACACCCCGCATGCTAGAACAGGTTGATGAGCGAATACGCCAATTCTCACTGACCTCACCAGGTCACGAGAGCAATCATTGCCGCAGCATTTTGTTTGTAGAGCCCATTGCCTGGATGCACCGCGTTATGCTCAACACCCAAGGACGTCTGTACTGCCCCAAGTGTGAGCAAAAGTTGGGTAACTTTAGCTGGATCAATGGTTCGTTTTATTACAATGCCATTGTATAGATATTCTGCTGATACCATCCCTTTAAATATGCCGTTGTAGCCTGCCAGTGTCCTTGCGGCGAGACATTGTCGCCTGCATTTTATTTGATTCCCTCCAAGGTGGAACTCTCCAAGGCCGTTCAGAATGTTCAGACGACAGTTTAAATGGAATTTGCCCATGAAATAGAATGAAAAGGCGAACCCAGAGAAAATGTAGAAATATTTCTTATTGCTTTCCACGCGGACAACATTTTTGGAACAGTTCGCTTGATGCACTGAAACCAAACTCCATTTATTTAAGCGCTACTCGAAGATTAAATAGGGTATATTGTATATTTGTGCTCGAAAAATGGGGGTGTATAACGCATAGTAGGAAGAAATTATACATATATATTCTCTATCAGCAGCAATAGCCTATATCTGTCCGTCTGTCCCCCTTGTTTAACGCCTAGTTATCAGAGACTATTAGAGCTAGAGTCATAAGATTTTGGTTAAAGATTATGATATATCACAATGAATCAAGTTTGTTTCAATATTTCGCCCCGCCCCTTTCACGCAACACAAAGAGCGTATATCTGCTGTATCCACAATTTTAAAGATAAGAGACAACTAAAAATGCAATTCCATAGGAAATTACCGAATATCCATCAGATTACCGAATTTTGATAAGACTGGATCATTATTACAGGCAGAATGAAGAAATTAATTTGCAGTGGCTACCCCACCCCGTCCAGCATCTTTTCTTATGCTTGCTTGTTGCTTGTTGCTCATTCTCTCTCGCTCGCACACTCTGCCTCATGAAATGTGGGTCACTGTGGGAGGGTGGTAAGCTAAAAGGGCGTGTGGGTGGGAGAAGGGTTGAAGATGTAGAAAAAATGTAAAATATAAAATTTGAAAAAAACTAAGGTACAGATATACTGACTGAGTACCGGGTATAAAAGCTGTGAAGCGTACGAAGGGTCTCACAGGTCCCTCCTCGTTTCTGGTTAGCTAATGAAATTACTGAAAACGGAGTTTTCGCAGAATATGAAAAAAAAACATATTTCCGTGGCCAATATTTAAAATTACGCTATTTCATAATGTAGCATGTTAAAGATGAATCAGCCAATACTGTAAATTGGTGGGAATGCATGAATGGAGTTGGCATGTGGGGGAGTCCGAAACAGTCGGATCTCAAGGTGTTGGCCACAAATTTTGTCTCTTACTTGTATGTGTACATACGTATGTACTTGCATGCATGCTTCCCTTATTAATGCTACGAAGGTGCTCTCGAGTCTAAAGTCTCTAGACATTCGCATAAGCCTATATATTTACATCTATGTGCTTTGTGACCTGTTTTATTAAATCAAAATGGAGTTATTTGTCATTAAAATTTAAAATGTGGTTTATTTCAAAAGTTTTTGTACCTAGAAGTACTGGGAGCTGGCTCTGGCACTGCCCGAGCCGCATATGCCAAAGGGGCGAGGGCGATCACGTCGGTAGTCGCATTCTGGTTGCCTTTGACTTTGACCAGACCATTATTCAGCAAGACTCGTATCTGGCGGTAAGCCAACTTCTGCAGAAAGCGAGGCGCAACATTTCATTGCTCCAAATTATACCGAAGTTTGGCTGGCAGACCTATATTAATTGCGTGCTCCAGCTGCTGCATGAAAAGCACAAAGTTGATTCAAGTACATCAGTCGGACAGCACATACGCAGCATTCCGGCGGTGCCAGGTATGCTTCATCTGATGCGGCGCCTGAACAGAACTCCTACCGTCGACATGTGCATTATTAGCGATGCCAACTGGTTTTTCATTTCCGAGTGGTTGGAGTCGTACGGCATCAGTTGCCTGTTCACCGACATTAAGACCAATGCTGCCTGCGTTCAGACGGACGGTATGCTGCTGATTCTACCCTACGAATACCAAATCGGCTGTGATCTCTGTACCCGTAACCTGTGTAAGGGAGGCGTGCTGCAGCATTTGCGACGTGGCGAGGTCTATAAGCAAGTAATATACGTTGGCGACAGCTGTAATGATCTTTGTCCCATGAAGAGCCTCCGTCCCGGCGACGTCGCTTGCATTCGAATCGGGTTTGAGCTGCACAGCAAAATGGTGGCACATGGCAAAATGCTGAGTTGCTCGGTAGTGGGGTGGCGAGATGGCCACGAGCTGGAAAAGCGCTTGTTGTCAAGAATCGCTTGGTGAATGAATAGGAGCAAGGCAAATATGTTAGCTTTAATGTTAATGCTGATGTTTTATTCAACTTACACATAACTCTTTCTCTGATGTATCTAATCATTATTCACTTAATAAAAACTTAAGCATTACATTTCATGGAAAAGTAGATTTTTACCGAATACACATATCGCAACGCATCTGTATCCGCTTCTGTTTAAGTAGACTTGATGCTTACTGCTAACTATTTATTTATCGATCGCTATTGCTGCTGCCCCCGCAGCAGATACTGTATCTAAAATTAGTTCACACATTGTTTAACTTTTCAATCTTTTGCTTCTGCTTTGCGTCTACTTGTCGTCGATTTGCATGACTTTCGTACTTGTTCTATGCTTACTCTTTAAAGTTACAAATATATCCGCATGTATTTGCTTGCATCTGTGTGTACGCCTGTGATAGAATTAATTACATGTATAATACATTTTTGTATCCATTAAAATTACAGAGTTACTCCTCTCTCAACCGTCTCGGGTTTCTCTTCGAACGAAGCTCAACTTTTTCATGACTTACACACTACCAGAATTAATCGAAACTTAAATCTTAAAAAAAAAGCAGTCCAACATCCCGAATAAGAGATTGCTCTGCTTCACGTATGTACTTAACTACTTACAATGCTAACGGGGCTTACAATCCTTATCCCTATAGATAGACACGTACATACAACTTGAAAAATTCGGCGGATAAGATATTACAAAACCAAAGAGTATTGCGTACACATATATGTAAAATCATACAATCAGCAAAGGGTTAGGGTAATAATAAATTTGTGCGTATGTGGACACATTTGAGACACATGGATAAATTTTAGCCAAACATTTAACACACTATTTAAATTTAAAAAAAATTGAATTAAACGTTAGGTATACAGATGCTGCAAAGCTGTCTGAATCCAGCAGCTCCTTCGCCGTTAAGCTAATAATAAAATGTATGAATATGCAAGAACATTGACATCGATGTATTTGAATCAGATGTTCATGCACATTGATTCACAATTGAACAAATTGATTTAAAGGGAATCGCCGAAGAGCGAAATACGAAAGTTTCTGGCTGTCCAGGCGTTATGAGAACAGTTATACATGTATACAGTCCACCGAATGCTGTGTGTGCTTGTCATGTGTGTGTGTTTGTAACATTAGGTAGCAACGTTAAGTAACATTAGAATAGTACGTTGTATTGACAATAAAATATATTATAATAATAAGTCAATATTTAGTTGATTCACATTCACTCCTCTTGTCCCATCTCGTCTCCCTTCAGGCATTCTTCAATACTATGCATGTGTGGTTGCGTTGTTGGCTTTTACAGGGTGGAGCTGGTATTTGGACCGGACTTGGGAGTCCTAGGAGGGGTGTTTTGAACCCGCGTCCGGCGCTTTCTATAAGTCCGTTAAAGTGCATTTGCCACAATAACGAATAACCCCCACTCAGGCAACAACCGGAGGCGGCGATATTCCGATTGCTGTGGCAGCTCCTGTGGCCGCTCCCGTCCCAGATGTGACTGTGAGCGCTGGTGAAGAAGCAGCTGTGGCGGTTGCAGTAGCTGCGCTGGTGATTCCTGAATCTTCATTGACTCCGTTCCGGTTGAAGCTGCTGCACTCCATCATGGTGATACTGGAAGTTGCTCCATGCGGCTGCTGTCGCCTTTCTGTCATTGTCATTGTTGTGGTTGTTTTCGTTGCCGCCTCCTCCTCGTGAGTAGTGGTTACCAATGCACTAACCACTACAGGGAGTTTGGGACTCGGTGCAGCCACTGGCGATGGATATGGGGCTTGGCTTCCATTGGTCCTTGGGCTTAAACCCGGACTTGCTATTACTGGGACAGTGATCGAGACTGCTGAATCAACTGCTGTTACTCCCTGTGCAGCGTGTCGCTTGGCCGGCTTCCTCGCACACGGCACACAGAACATGGCAGCATGCTCCCGTAGCTTTGTAATGTGGTCGATGCGATATTCGTGTATCCACTTCATCTTTTTGTTACGAGGAGAGGCCTTAGTCGCCTCTGCCCCGGCAACGGCTTCACCGGGAGAAGCCAATTCACATACCTGGGGCAGGCCTTCGGGCTTGATGGCGCCACATTGCATGCAGATACAACAGCGTTCACAGCTCCATCGCCCTGTAATTCAGATCGAAAATTTAAAATTAGTCCTGCCAACCAGCCTCCTGCTGGTGCTCGTTGGATGTTCACTACTCACCATCTGGCACCGTCTTGAGGCCGAGGCAGTAGATGTGATAGCCTCGGTCGCACTGTTCGCAGTAGAGCATCTTGCCGGGCCGCTGGCTGCTCTTGCACTTGACGCAGCACTTGCACCCGGCACACTGCCAGTTGTAGTTTCTCACGCGGCCCACCATACGTTGTGGCATATCAATGCAACTAGGATGGACTGCAAAGCGAGTAAATACGATAAAGAGGGGATAATGCAGAAAGAAGAAGAAAAGGAGGACTGGGACTTACCACGCCGTCGACAACTGTAGCAGCGTATGAAAAATTCGGGCATCTCCCTGGCATTACGGTGCTGATTACGCAGGCACACGCCGCAATTCGATAGCCGGGAACGCGCTGATTCATTTCGTTCATCGTCGCTGGCCGCAGCACTCGAGCCTGCTGTTGAGATGCAGCTACTCGAGCTGCTGGAGTCGCTCTCATCGTCATTATCCTGAAGTTTAAATTTGTAGCTCTAAAAACTGATCTAACGGCAGTTGGTCGGCTTCACCGCACACTTACTGTATCACTGCTGCTGGTGTCGCTGAAGGAGGATGAGAGGGAGGCGGAGGAGGATATGCTAGAGTTGCTGGCCGTTCGCACCTTGTCCGACTGCTGCCGCGCAGACCGGCGACTGCGGCTAACAGAAACCGACACTTTTGGCTTGGATGCAGGCTGAGCCTCGGATGCCGAGACATCAACTTTGTCGGCAATTGCGCAGGTCACGCCGTTGATGCGCTTAAGCAGCTGAAATTCCAGTCCTGCCGCCTGCGACTGTGACTGTGGCTTATCCAGTGCTGTATCCAATGGGTGGGATCTTAAAATAGATTGGAAAAACAAATTTACTGGATGGTTGCAATTTGCGAAATAGCAGTATTGATTGACTTACCTCAGTTCGACGAAATCTAATTTGCGGTAGTCGAATGAGAACTGGTCCGGCACCACGGGGAGCGGATACGCATAGTCCGATTGACAGTAGGCTTCATCGTAATGATCATCTCGTGGACACAACAGATCTGGGGGCAGCAAAATATTCTCCGCCTCGGCTGCTGCCCGCACCCCGCTTGCAATTGAGCGATGTAGGCGGGTTGTCGTGGGAGCTGTTCGCAGCTGGGGCTGGTTCATCGTAAAAGTCTGCAGGTCCAGGCAGGCCAGACGCTCGTCTTTGCGTCTGAATAAATTAGAATTAGAAGCAAAAAAGGATTTTTAAAGATTTCTCATGTAACTCACGTCTTGTTGAAGTAAACATTCCACTTGCTGGCGGAGAGCATGGCTCTGTCTCTGGCCTGTAGTCCACGGACAGTGCCAACTGTGAGGCCGAGCGCCTTTTGCTTGGCCTCGATTTCACGCAAGTGCTTGAGACGGATATACTCCTTGTAATCCTCGTACTTGTCGTAAAAGTCTGCGTACATTATATCCAGTATGTCGGAGGCCCACACAGCGGTGATTCCCAGGTCGCACATCTTCTCGCTGACCAATCCTTTCTCCTGCAGCCAGTTGCGCTCCTCCATATCGACCGCGCGGCGAGGCAGGTCCGGGTACTTTCGCTTAAAGCTGGTTATCCCAAGATAGAGGGCTACCTGCTCCTGGATCATAAAAGTATCCCGATTCTTGGACGGGCAACAGCCCTTTGGTGGAGGCCAATCGTACTCGGCAATGCTAGAAGCATTAAAGTCCGTGCTGCACGCGCATTGTTAGAACGAAAGAATGTTAATTTATTGAGATGGAATAGCTGATAAAGGCTGCACTTACTCTTCGGCTACACAAATCTCCATTTTCTTTTTCTTTGGACGTTTCAGTGCCGACCCAAGTATGGCGTCAACGGATTGACCCTGATTCGAGTCCAGCATGCTCACGTTGCTTAAAACCGATGACTGCGACTCCTCGTTGTTGAGAAAATCGGGTTGCCTGCTGGAAGATTTAACATTGTAGTTCCGTTCTTCCCTACCTCCTACGGGATCTCATTAGGCGTTACTAACTACTAGTTACAAACGTACTTTTGCGGTGTCAGCGGCGGTTCCATTAGGCTCCCCATCATGGATTGGATGCTGTTCCCAAGGTCGGCGCTCATGCGGGTGTCCTCCTCAAAAACTTGGGGCGACTGAAGGGCAGAAAAATAATAAGAGAAAATATATATTTGTTTTTTTTTTTTTAAATATGTATGTATATGCATTTTTTTCTACTTCTCAAAGGACAGCATTTAAAACTTAATCTCCAACACAAAGATATTAAGGAGCTTTAACACTGTAAACAAACTAAAAACGAGAAGGGACGTGTGAGACGTCCCCCTCCCCTAGAGCTACACACTGCAGAGGCAAGGCAGAGGCAGAGGCCGCACACTGCAGAAGCAGAGTGGGAATGAAAGAATGTGCAAAAAACAAATATAAGCTGGGTTTAGCCACTGCAAATTAATTTCTTCATTGTGGCCATAATAATGATCCAATCGGATCCCAATTTGGTGATCTGATAGATATGGTCATTCCTTACGGAATGGCGTTTTTAGTTTTGTTTTATCTTCAAAATTGATTTTGGAGGTTTTCGCACTTTTGCGGGCGCGGGGCTCATTTTTGAAATACGCTTGTAACAGTGTGAGCATACAAAATTCTTGATGCAAAATTTGGTGGCTCTAGCTTTTATAGTCTCTGAGATCCAGGCGCTCAACAAGACGGACGGACAGACGGACAGACGGACAGAAGGACAGACAGACAGACATGGCTCAATCGACTTGGCTATTGATGCTGATCAAGAATATATATATTTTATGGGGTCGGAAACGTTTCCTTCTGTTACATGTTACATACATTCACTTAGTGCACAAATACAATATACACTATTTACTCTTCGAGTACCGAGTACAAAAAAGCCAGCATCGGACTGCACAGGACAGCACACATTTGTACCTTTCACACATATCACAGTCTGAAGTAAACATTAGCTTCAACACTGGCCTGCGACTCGGTATAATAATAACCATCATTGGATCGGATCGGTGATTGGTGGTTCTTGGTGCATGCACACATTATGTACATGTTTACATACGTATGTAAATATGTACATTTGTATGAATGAAAATGAACTGGAGCCATTCAATGGGATCCGGATAGCAATGGGCTTATGGCTCGAAGGATGCATAACCGTGGATCCATCACTTACCGGACTAAACAGGCCTTTAAGCCTCTCGGGGTCAGGTGTGTGCTTCAGTCCACCAACGCAGCGGGGCCGACTCATGGCAATGGCCTTGGCGACGGCACTGGCCCCCCGACTCATGCGTGGCGCCCGCGGCTGGCCCGACGCCGCGGAGGAGGCATTGACGGAGCTACCACCACCAGCCCTATTGGATGAGGAGGATCGACTGTGGCTGCTCCGACCAGCGCCACCACCACCTCTCGAACCACGTCCCCGCCCGCGTCCGCGTGTGGAAGTAACGCCGCCGGCAGCTGCCATTGAAAGCATTTGCATCGTTATCGAGCCGGATTCGTCTAAAAGTAAAGGAAGATACGTTGAGAGTTCAGCTTCTTCGAAACTGCAGGGACTATTCTTACCACCAGAGTTGCCCAGCGCGCTAGTATAGTTGTCCTCGTCGTGGGAGTCCAGCTGACTACCGCCGCTGATGCTGCAGGGGCGTGGCGAGCGCAGCTGCTGCGTGGCCATAATTGACGAGAAGTCGTTGGGCTGGAAGACCACATCCGGCAGAGGATCCGACGACGACAAGATCGTTGTGGGCGGCAGCATCGAGGACATGGACATGGTTGAGCTGCTCCCACTGCCGTGTCCGTTGCCACCTCCCAATTGGCAACTGGCGGCAGGTACCCCGGACGAGGTCGACGAGCTGGACGAGCACATGGTCAGATCAATTTGAGCTGCCAGGGCAAAGGCCATGCTGTCGTTGTTGTTGTTGGATTCCGTCTCGCCAAATTGGTCCAAGCTGCTTGTTGGGGGAGGAAACGGCTGCGGCGGCTCCTGCCGCTCCGACTGTTGCTGCTGGAGCGACAGTTTGATAGAGTTGGCCTTGCTTTGACGCTTCCTGGTAGTCTTGGGCGTAGGCTGGGAAGGATTCAGCACCTTCGAATTAGGAGTTTGGGTGCGCCTCGTGGCTCTCAGCTGGCGATGATCGCGACAAATCACCATTCCCAATGCGCTCGGCGAATCATCGACTCCTCCCAGATGGCCCTTTTGCTCGTCCATCAGTGGGATCGATGCTGCCTCCGGCAGCTGTTCCTGGCCCATACTTACCATATCAATGGCCAACCGCTTGCGGAGCAGCTGCACCCGGCGAGACTTCACCGCACTACTAACCTTGGTTTCCTGGCTTCCATGAATTTCATGGCTATCATGGATGGGTGTGGCAAGGGCTGGAGCCGAGGGTAACAGAAGCGCGGACAGATCTGAATTTTGATTCCTTTTGGGTCTGCCACGTCGCTTGCCCGTCGGCGCTGGTGTGGTCATCACCTCTGCGGGGGCAGGCGGACTTCGCTGCCGCTCTGACTGCAACTCCAAGGAGTTGGCATCCGCCGAGGCCCCAGAATCGGTGAAGAGAGTTCCATTTTGGATTCTATCTGACGATGTCGATGGGGGCTGGCCTGAATAAGGTCCAGACCCAGAGTCAAGGCCAGGACCTGGTGGCCCGGATGGAGGAAACAGGCCTTCCTCTAGGTCTGTGTTGAGAATTCTCTCGTGCTTTTGCTTGCGGGAGCGGTGAGACGGCTGCCCTGTCTGAGTCTGCATCTGCACCATCTCGATGGAACTAGATTTCTTTCCAGGCTCATGGCAATTATGCGTTTGCTGATCGTTCTCATCGTTGTCCAATCGTCTCTGCTTGCTTTGCGGGATCTATTGGAAGGGAATGAAGAGGGTCAGAGGCAAGAACTATGAACGGCAAAGCACTTACGCTGGGAGATTCGCTGCCGTCGCTGCTGTTACGCTTCATATGATTCTCATTGTTGTTGTCCAACTCCTCGAGCTCTTCCTGTCCCTCCAGTTCCTCCTGCCGCTCCTGTTCGATCCCATCGTGGTGATTGTTGAGCAATTGGGGATGATCCATGTAGGTGATATGCGGACTGCCTTCCGGAGTGTCCAGAATCTCAATAGAATCAATAATAGACCGCGAGGGGCTGGATGAGCGCGCTGTAGGAACCCCGCCCGAAAGCTGAGCGCCACCCTCAGCTACTGCCGCTGTTGTTGATGCTCCGACCGTCACACCTCCTCCGTTCGCCATAAGCCGTTCAGTCAACTGGGGATACTTGCTGGAGTTATTACCCTTGGAGGAGACCGCGGAGAACTGGGTCTTCGCTGGGCCCGTCAGTTGGTTTAGCAGAATGTTAGAATTTGGCGACCCGGGACCGAGTGTTGTGTCTGCGGGAGTCATGTGCAGACGGAGAGGCAGGAGGAGATTATGACTCGACTGACCAGGCGAGATGCGACCAGAGAATTCGATGCTTGCATGCACTGGCGAGGAGCCTGGCGATGGCGATGATGTAAGATCAACTAGATCCACAACATTGTGCTGCTGCTGTGGCAGATTCGAATTTGCATGTGGATTGGAAGCAACCGTCTTGTACTTCTTGGGTTTGTTTTCAATGGCCAGGCCATTGCAGGCTGCCGGCTGCAGAGGCGGCAGATTGTGAAACATTTTGGGATCGTGCTCCTTTGACAGGGACTCATCAATGTCCATGTCGTCAGAGTTTCGACGCATATCGTCCGCCATCATCTGCTCCCCATCCGGATCGGAGAAACCACAAAACTCCTGGCTGCTGCTGTTTGATTCCCCGCCGTTTGAAATTGGAATGGGCGTGGGCATTGGAGTTGCCGTGTGTGTGGCCAGCTTGGAGGCAGCTGAAGGGGGCTTTTCCTCAAGCACCGCCCGGACTTTGTGCTTCGGCGAGCACAGATTCTTAATGGTCAACTTGGGTAGGGGCTGCTGCTGGTGCTGATGCTCGGCCTTGGCCAGGGGTTGTCCTCCATCGAAGCTGTCCTCCATATCAATAGACTTGGTTTTGATTGTGAGCTTGGGTATGCTCTGAGCGTTGCTGAGGTCATGCGTCATGATCACCGTGTGCGTGTGCTCCAGGCCGCTGCCGCCCGTCTTGATGGTTAACTTTGGTATCTGTTGCGGCTGCTGCTCGCTGTTGCTGCTGATGCAGCTGCTCCCGGCCAGGGTGGTCTTAATCATTAGCTTAGGGACCGTCTGCATCTCCACCATTGTCATCGACAGCGAGGAGGACGACGAAGATGATGAGGAAGAGGACGATGCTGATGAGGAAGAGGCGGAGGCGGGCGAGAGGCTAGACAGATGTGCCTCGCTCTTGGCTGGCGTCGTTGACTGACTGCGGCCAAGGCAGTTGGATATCCTGCCATCTGTCGAGCAGGAGCCAGAGCCAGAGGCGGAACCAGACCCAGAGCCAAAGGAAGCAGCGGGATTTTCAGGCATTTTGATGGTCAGCTTAGGCACAACGCTGCCCACACGCTCCTCATTGGCTGCCCGGATTGTGAGTTTTGGCACAATGTGTGGTGTGCTTCGGGGATTTGGGGTTGGACGATGCTGGCTAAGACTGCTCAGCTCTTCCTCCGCCTCGGCGCAGGAGGAGGAGCAAGAAGAGGCATCCACGTCGGACGCGTCCTGCGGCTTGGCCCCCGTCCCACCGATGCTGCTGGGTAAATGAATACGCAATGGTTTCACTCGTCTCTCGTCTTCAACGGATTGAGATTCATCGGGAGCGGTGTGTGAGTGCTTGGATAGCTTCAGGATAATCTTGTGCCCTTGGCTGCTTCCACCCCTGGTCCCCTCGTCGCCCTTCACGTCAACTGCCGTGGCAGCCATGGCTGCGGCGCCGCTCGCTGCTGATGCAAGTGCTGATGCTCCTGTTCCTGCAGCAGGGCTTTTTGCATCGTCGCGCTGCGTCGGCGTCTGCCGCTGCGGCGATGCTGTAGTGCTGGTTATATGACCCGGCTGCTGTTGTTGCAGTACCTCCTCTGCTCCCAGTTGCTGTTGTTGTTGTTGTTGCTGTTGTTGCTGTTGTTGTTGTTGTTGTTGTTGTTGCTGCTCCTGCTGCTGCTCCTGCTCGGCATTCAGCTGATGCTCCCGCTGTGGCGATGATGTGGAGCTCACGCGTTGCTCCTCCTCGCTCGTGGTGCTCGTCGCACTTTTTACGCTGGAGTTGATTTGCCCAGATGATCCCACTGCTATGACCGTTCCTGTGCCTGATCCTGATGACGATGTCGCTGCTACCATCTGCTGGTGACGTAAATCATTCATTGCTATATCCAATTATCCTGTTGCCGCCGGGTGTCGCCAGCCTGCAACTAAAAGCAAGCGTCAATTATAAGTTCTCCTCTTAATTATAAGTTTGTTGGGTGTTCCCCCGAGCCCACTTACACACTCTCACACAACACTTAAAACTATGTCCATCCATCCCATCCATCACATGAAAATCAGAGGTAAATCAATTGAGCCACACTTAAGGGTTTTTATAATTATGTTACAAACAATCAAACGAGACAGAGAGGGTAAGAATACGGGGATAGGATTGGGTTCGGGAGGATCTCTAGGAGCATTAGGCGAATGACCTCTTCCTTTTGGAGGCAGCAGAACAGTTTGTCATGGCTTAGGCTGCTGATATTGATACTGCTTTTACGTGAAGGGAATTATTGGAAACAGACTTGTTTTACGGGAGCAATACATTACAGAAAGAGAAGGGACGTGTGAGACGCTTCTTACGCGTCACAACTTGTATACCCGTCACTCAGTACTACATCTGCACCTTAGCGGTTATGTCTTAAATTTTACATTTTTTCTTTATCTTTCATCTAAATTAACAACACTACTCACGCCAACACGCTCCGTTAGCTCGCCACCCTCCCCTAGACCCACAAACTGCAGAGTCAGGGCAGAGACGCGGCAGAGGCAGAGACGTGTCTGCGCGAAGCAGAGTGTGAATGAGAGAATGTGCAAAAAACAAATATAAGCTGCGGGACGGGGTGGGTTTAGCCACTGCAAATTAATTTCTTCATTGTGGCCATAATAATGATCCAATCGAATCCCAATTTGGTGATCTGATAGATATGGTCATTCCCTACGGAATTAGTTTTCTTTTCTTTTCTTTTTAAAATTGTAGATTTGGGAGGTTTTCGCACTTTTGAGGGGGCGGGGCTCATTTTTGAAATACACTTGTAACAGTGTGAGCATACAGAAGTCTGGATGCAAAATTTGGTGGCTCTAGCTTTTATAGTCTCTGACATCCAGGCGCTCAACAAGACAGACGGATGGACGGACGGACAGACAGGCATAGACTCGGCTATTGATGCTGATCAAGAATATAAATACTTTATGGGGTCGGAAACGTTTCCTTCTGTGCGTTACATTCATTGTGCACAAATACAATATACCCTATTTTCTCTTCGAGTACCGGGTATAATAATAAGCGTTAAGAACATGCGCACACAGCTGCTGCATGGGGTGAGATACAGAGCGAGACAGAGAGCATAGAAAAGAATTGTTGAGAAATCCGAACGAACTCTGCTCTGGCCCATGGTGAAATTACTAACAAGGTGGCGGATTCACCACAGTGCCTTCTCATTCGAGGAACACCAGCTTCACAGTCGTTTGCCAACGTCGACGAAAGAAGTTCATTGTCTTCTTCTTTTTCTTCATTGTTTACGAATGAAGAAGTAAGCGGAAGACAATGAAATATGCATGCAACTACTATTCTATTTTGGATGTGTAATAAAATGTGTATGTAATTTAATCTTTATTCAATTACATCTTTTTTAGAAACAAAATATTTTTTGCTTTGCCGCTCCAAATCTTTACTTTGCTGTCCGCAGAAACAATAAACGCGAAGAGTGCAGAACGTAAAACGCTTGCTATCTCTCTCTAGCGCTTGCCTCTGAGAGCTGAGAGAGCGTGGTGAATAAGCGGGTGCTCCTCCACTCAGCTGACAACGTCACCTTGTTACTAATTTCACCATGTTCTAATGTGTGTTGGCAACACTGACACGCACGGGGTAAACTCAACATCCAAATTAAATTCACCACAGTCGAGTCGCCGTTGTTGTTTCTGCTGCTGATGTCTTCACTTATGGTTGGATGCATAGAGTGTAGAAAATACACACACTCGAGCAAAAACATGCTGCACACAAACACGCACACACAAAGTTAAAATAAAACATGCAAGCATTTGCATTACACACCCGCAACTCAATTCCCTTGGCAGCCGCTTGTAAGCGTTCGTCTGTAAAGAAAATGTCTACATATAACGCAGCAACATCAACAAAAATGTGCAAGCAATGCAAACAAATAAATAAAAAAGCGATGCCGAAGCCCTGACCCAAGAACAGCAGAAGCGAACTCACCATGCGTCAAAATCGTCGGCCAGTCAGACAAAAGAAGATGGAGTAGAGGAAATCAATCGCCTTCTCTGCATTGACATAAATTATTTGTGGACATATTTAGGTTTTGTCTGCTTTATATGATTTGGCCTACTCAAACGTGCGACATTCCTTGGCACTTTTTTTTATTGTTTCATTTAATATTGTAGAGGCAACAATAATCAAGAAATACAATTTTAAAGCACTCGAGGGAAAACAGGGCTGAGAAGACTGTAGTCACACACACGCACGCACACATAGTCGCATACAAACAGCGGAGACAAGCGCAACGAGCTCTCTCGGCTGCCGTTGTCCCACTTTCCGTGTATTGGTTTCGTACACTTTTCCACGCACTTTTAACGATTTGGACGTAAACAGAGACACGAATTAAACTGTCTTAAAACAATTAAATTGCAGCTTTAACCGCGCGAATGCATAAGCAAACTTGTTCGGCATGCGTAAAACAATTTCAAGAATTCATTATTAAATTGCATGCTTTGCTTCGCCTGCTTCTTGTGTTTTTTCTTTTCGATTCCGTCGTCGAAAAAGTAATGCTAAGAAGTAGGAATGCTATATTGTAATATCGATATATCGATATACATTTATAATAATATACCTCTATATTAATTTGTGTTGAATGCTTAACATAAATTGTATATATCTGTGGGATATATTAGCTGATCAAATATGAAAAATAACACTATCGACACTTATTCTGTTGTTTGAATGCGCTAGATCAGGCATAACTCGTTTAGATTCTTAAAAAAAGGGGCCGCTAAAAAATCAGGGATGATATTCGTATGCAACCGATAAGAAATTTTTGTGAGCACAAGTTACTTTCTAGCGGCTGTACGACTGGAAGTACTGAGATCGACAAAAAAAAGGCCGAAATAATCTAGAAAGTCAGACGATAGTACTTTGTGGTATCGATAGTATTTGTGTGGTATTCGTTGGTATGTTTCTAGCAGCTCGAAATATAAAGATCTGTTTTAATTTCCGAGAGGGTTCCAAGCAAACATAAAGTATAGTCTCAATCAAATGGAGGCAACAATGGAAGTTGAAAGATAAATGACCGTGCTTCTAAACGAGCTTCAGGCCAACAAACGGCAAAAAAGGAAACAATTATTATAGATTAATGCGATTGAATGCAATATTGAATTTATTTGAATTTCTAATTTGTTTAACTTATTTGAATTCCAGTATCTTTATGTTGCCAAGACACAGACCCGGTTGGGCTGTTAACAAAATGTTTTAAGTTGTTTTCTTTTTGGGACCAAGTACTGCTCCACAGGGTCGTGCCAAGGGGCGTAGGCGGCAATTTGGACTCAAAACTATCCAATTTTGAATAGGAAGGGTGCTTGGAGGCGCCGTTTTACAACTTTGCCACGGGCGCAAATATTCATGGCACGACCTTGCTGCTCCAGCAATCAAAGAAGTCTGCAGATGTTATTCCCAGCCATATGCAAATTCTTTGTCATATTTTCAAACCGCGGAATATGCAAAGGGGCTGCAGATGGGTTTAATCAAAGTTGTCAGCGCTTATTTCGTTGATTGTCCTCCTCCTCCGATCATGCAAGAGCCGTCAATCCCACTAAAGCAACATCCTGCATGGATCCAATTTGCATTCTTTGTTTTATTAACCTTTTATTCAATTTTCACACATTTTCAAAAAGGTAAACCAAACAACACAGCTGCCTGAGAAGTGTAACCGTACGGAAAGCGGTTATCACCTCTGGTCACACTTTGCTGCTAGAAAAATGTATTGCACATTTTGCTAGCAAGTTTTTTTGTAGATCTGAATACTAGTCTTTAAAATCGGTATATTTGGGCGATAAGTGAAGATCAACTTGGCGGTAAGGCCCAGTACAATGGAGCAATTATATATAATATATAAGTAATAATAAATAAGTAATTTCTTCATGACCAGTACTCAGATGCGCAAGATTTTCTTGCGACAGAATCAGAGATGATATTCCCATACAAACGTTAAGAAATCAACCTTTTGGTTGTTCGACAGACCATTTTGCAGCCAGAATTTGAAGTGAGTACTCAGATCAGCAGAAAAAATACCATAAAACAAGCCGATTAAATACTATAAATACCGCAACGAACCAAGAAAGCAAACTCGCAAAACCGATGAAAAATGTTGACGCTCACAGACTACTTTTTAGCGGCTGTACGCCAGTACTAACCAAATACTATAAAAATAACCCCAATACTATTTGGTTAGTGACGCCAGGTAGTAAGTAGATACAAAAGAAAACTAGCCGACTAGTCCGAATAAATCAACCGATGGTATTTTGTGGTATTTGATGGTAGCTTTCGAGCTGGAAAGAGATACCTTTATTTTATGTTCCGCGAGCCTACCTAGCAAGCAGAGAGTAGTCTTAATAAAATGGAGGCAAAAATGGCGCTGAAGTTGAAAGAAAAATGAGGAACTTGAGGCCATCACATAGCCGAAAAAGGAAACAATTACTATAGATGACTGAGAATAAATTGAATTTAGTTGCATTTCTAATTTATTCAACATAATCGAATTCCAGTAGCTTAATGTTGCCAAGACACACCCCTGGCTGGGCTGCGCCGTTTTACAACTTGGCCCAGGGCGCAAATATTCCTTGGCACGGCCTTGCTCCACCACCAATCCAAGAAGGCAGCAGATAGTCTTCTCAGACAGATGCAAACTTTCAAACAATGGCGCTTGAAACATATCTTCAAACTGCGGAATGTGCAAAGGGTATTGCTAGATGGGTTTCCATACTCAAACACAAATTTATATGATTCTCTTTTCTATACTAATGTATAGACAAACGACACTTCTGGTTTCTTTCCTGCAGATATGGGATTACTCAACGTGTTCAGCGTTTATTTCCTTTATTGTCCTCCTCCTCCGCTAATGCAAAAGCCACTTTTCACATATATTCAAAGAGTAAACATATCTTCCTGAGCAGTGTAACCGTACCTTTGGTCACACTCTGCTGCTAGCAAAATATATTGATTTGTTTGCTAGAAAACTTGTTTTCGGATCTGACTACCAAGCTTAAGTTTCATCAATAAAATACAAGGAAGTCATGATTGATTGATTAAACGAATAAAAGTAGAGGTCTAGTTCTGAAAGGCTTAAGTATTTGCTAGTCTTAATCGGAATATCAAAATCGAGGAAAATTATTTAAGATTTACGGTATATTTACTGTGTACTATGAAGATGCAATGGTATATTTTGATATATTACGAGGCCCTGGCGGTATATTTTATCGACAATTTTGCGGTCACACTGAATCCAATTCGCTGTAGCGATTAAATAAAAAAAAAATTAAATACATAAATGGTAAAATTGCGGTCACACTGCTAGAAAACACGCAATTTTTCACAAAACTTTAAAGTTTTTGTGATCATAACCTCTACGCCAGGTAAGTATCGGAGTAAAACTGTAACAAGTTACTTATCTCGACGTGGCGATTTCCACCAAAGACCATCAAAGGCGGTCGGCCAAATAATCCCCCTCTACCCAAGCGTAGAGCGGTAACATAAAACATCAAAAAAAAAAATACATAACTTATCAAAGGAATATAACCGTCAATATAACACTCAAGAATAAACAAAAACCTGCACCAGATAACGACTATACCTATGTAATAAGGGCAAAATGTCGTCGACGGCAGCTGCCACAGAAGCTATAGCTTGCAGGCTGGGAAAGCAGCAACGGCGACGACTGGCAGCGTTTGACTTTGATCACACAATTGTAGCGCAAAATACGGACACTGTGGTGAGAGATTTACTTCCTCCGGAAGTGGTCAGCTCACGGACCCTCAACGAGCTGGTGGAAAACGATTGTTGGACCGAGTACATGTCTGAAATTTTTCGTCTGCTCCATGAGCAACAAGTCACGGAGGCGCGCATTCGAGACACCATCCGAGTCATACCGGAGGTGCCAGGCTTCGTGCGCCTCATTAAGCATCTACACAAGAAACTTAACTTCGACATGATCATCATCAGTGACTCGAACAGTGTTTTCATCGAAGAGTGGGTCAAGGCGTACAACATGGCCGACTGTTTCGTGGCCATCTTCACCAACCCCGCTGAGTTTGATTCCAATGGGCAGCTTCAGGTGCGGCCACACCACCAGCAGAGCGAGTGCAAGCTGAGCGCCAGCAATCTCTGCAAAGGGCGCGTCCTTGAGCACTTTGTCATTGAACAGGATTTGCGGCGAAGTATCCGCTATGACCACGTCTTCTATGTGGGCGACGGCAACAACGACATCTGCCCCGTGTTGCGACAACGGGCTTGTGACTTTGCCTGCGCCCGTCAAGGCTTCGCCATGGAGAAGCATTTGATTCGGAACCGCAACAAATTAAAGCTGCGGGCGCAGCTGTTGGTCTGGAGGAGTGGCTTTGACCTGATGGAACAGATGCTGTCCTTGCCGCAAATGCAAGTTCCACCAGTTGACTTTAAGACTGCAGAGGGCCAGGCAGAGATGGCGCGGCGAGCATCTGCGGTCACTGGTCCATCCAAGCAGACCAATTAAATTTTCAATTCGAAACTAAACATTTTCTTGGCACATTCGAGTGTTATTTGTCTGCCCCTGTCTATTAAATGTGATCTTGGAACTTGCACATGCACAAGTATGCGTATTTTTTTATATTGGTATACATTAATGTATATATACATACATACATGTATATATGCATACATATATAAATACATGTATGTTCTCGATTTAATATCTAATCCGATAAAGCCTTTGTGTGTAATTACGTACAATATCCTTAACTTGGGGCATTGTAGTACAGCTGTAGGAGGCGCTTTGATGATGTTAATGTTACATAGTGGTCTCTCTCTGTCTCTTTTGGCACACGCAGCGCCAAGTCGTTTTATGTATAATATGTAGCTGTAATCGTAATTATTGTAAATTAAATATATGCGAGCGTGTACGTTACCGTTCCTGCAGATCGTGTCTTTCAATGAAAGTGTCTCTTTATTTCAGGCTTGACAACACGCAGTCTTGCATTCTCCGACGACAATCAGAGCAGGATGACAGTAGCTGCGTACGTGTGTATGTAAGCAATAGTTTTACGGTATGTGTTATTTATTTACATTATAAATTAGATTCTAGTAGAATAAGAAACTGCAAATTTGATCTGGATAAGGATAAGCACAGGCAATCTCGTGGAAACTTATTACCAAGACGTTCTGTCCGGTAATAACTAATTTATGGATTTAATTAATAAGAAGCGATTTGTATGGCGCGTATTGCGGGTGCGGGCGCGGAAGTCCTGTAAGATGCAAATGAAATACTTAAGACAAATGAGATTTGGCTTGTGATCTACGAGCCCAATGGCGACATGCCGATCTGCTGTGGGGTGTTTCCCAGTTCCAGGTTCTTCAGGAGCATTTGAAGCCACTGTTTCGTGGATTTATCATCTTGCAAACACAGAGCGAAAGTGCCATCGCGAAGCTGATCCGGCAAGCACTGTCCAAGGGCTTTGCGAGCGCTGCACAAAAAAAATGTTAGTTTTGTTCTAGAAGTAGTTATAGTGTAGCGCCTTGATACATACCGTGTATTGTCAGAGAGACGTAGATAGCAACGCACTACGTGCTTCAGCAGACGGGCACATGGCTCCTTCGATAACTGGATCACCATTTTACCCTGTGGTATTGTAATAGTATATAGTACAGATGTGTGCGTATGTGAATGATGACTTAAACATGGACTCTGCATCGATTGATACGTACCAGAGTGATGGCCACATGCGAGAAGCGTTCGTAGGTTTGACATATGTACGACAGGCCCGACTCATCAAGCAGTATCTTCTGGATGATGAAGGTGGCCACAGTCTTGCTCAGCTCTGAGCCGCTGTCCATAATGCTCAAGCAAAGAGGAACAATTTCCGTGGTGAGCAAGAACGTGATTACTTCCTGCTCGTCGGTCTGGAAGGGTCGGAAGACTTAGTTGTGTATAATGGGAATTGGTGGGGAACGACTCACCTTAACCAAGGCCCCAATCACGCCCAAGCTGGTCAGACGCAAATATTCAAAGGGTCTGGTCTTCGAAGTAGTCGACAGAAATGGATACAAGTAGAGTGGAATCTGCGCCTGCAGAAAGGCTGTGCGGGTCTCCGGATGGGAGGCGACGCACTGGAGTAGGGCCAAGGCATTGCACACACGGTTCGACTGATGTGCCGTCAAAGTGGGCGGAGTTATAGACGGATATATGTTAACAATTTCCTGAAGCAGAGCACATGCCGTTCCAAAGCTGTTCCACAGCATGGGAGCCAAGTCGGTTTCACGCTTTTTGCTTAGCTCCAACAGAGCGGTCTCGCGCGTGTCCGGGTGCGCCAATTCGTTGATCCATTGGTACACCTAACAAACCCTTGTAAAAGTTAATTTGTAGTTCTGAGTGTTGAAAATACTTTGCTCTCCATTACCTTCTCCTGCTCGCTTTGCTGCTGCTGAGGATTCATGCAGGGACTCGGCTGGGCACTCATTTTAAAGTGTCTGCTGCTTATATGGACCAAATGTATATATTATGTTTAGATAAAATTATATTGATAATGTAAAAAAGTATGCCGCATAGAAATACATGTACAAAAATATATATGTATGTATGTGCACACAAATGTGCGCAGATGTACAAAAGGAAGCTTGGCAACGTAAAACATTAGTTACTTACCTCTAGATTTTAGAAAGAGATTTAATGACAACCGCAATAACAGTACTATTAACAAAAATTAGCAACGGCTTTTGTTGGACTGTGTCAAACACCAGTAAATACATATGCTAATATACATGTATATAATTATGTATGTGTGGTTGCGTGTTTTTGCGGAATTGTGTAAGGGTTTTTCTTGCAGATATATTGCGCACCAGCAACAAATTAAGGCAACACACGATAACAACTATGCCGAAATACGACACCGTTCTTTCGCATTTGTACTTTACTAAGTTGCAAATGACGTTGATCGCGCGGGCGCTGTCGAAAAAAATGCTCTACAAAAACTGAGCACAAATGTTGCAAGTTACAACTACACATTTGCTACATGTAAACTACATATTTATGTAATTAGCGAAAGAGACACCTTACGAGCAAATGTGTATTTTTGTGGACAAACTTCTACGTAATGCTGTCGCTATATAATAGGATGAACACATTTAGTAAACCACGTAAACTAATTATGTTTGTTTAATCATATTTACCCACTCAAAGTATACTTACGCCAATAGTTACGAGCTGCGATATTTTGCAAATAGCACGAACTATCGAAATATGTCAGATCTACTGGCAGCTCCTATGCATCAAAGCAACTCTGTTTATTTGACATTTTGACGTGGAATATCAACTGTGCACGATTTGTAAGGCTGACACGACAACGAAACGTAACCTTTTCATTATTCATTCCAGTGAACATTTTCGAACCGTTTGCAGGTGCGTGCCTCTTTATTTTGCGAGTTTTTATAATTAAAGCATAAATTAGAATGCAAAAAGCTTCCTCAAGCAACAAAATTCGTACATCGTTAAATCGATACGCCCTAAAGCATTTATCTTCTTTTGTTTTTTCGTTTTGTTGGTGAATTTTCACCATTTTCTTGAATGTCTGCGAAAACTTTACACAGTTGAAAATTATGTTTAAATAATTAATTTTAGTAAAACATTTGAGTGGAACTCTCCAGCCTAAGGGATTTTAATCCAGTTCACAGAAAATACCTTCCAAGCTGAAACGGCAACAAGATTTCACCTGTGAAGTCGTTGTCATTTGCCACGTCGCCAGCGTCACTGTTGTCAACGTCGGCGTCGACTTCGACGCTGACTTATTGGGATTCGTGTGGAAGTAGCATATTCTCATTGATTTTGATTCAATTCCCACTATCTCGTTTCAGTATCTATTAAATTCTAAAGTAACATGGACAAAGTTGTTAAGTTCGCTGAGCCAGGTCGCGCTTTCGCCAAGGACTCGATCCGTCTCGTAAAACGTTGCACTAAGCCCGACCGCAAGGAGTTTCAGAAAATTGCCATCGCCACTGCCATTGGCTTCTGCATCATGGGCTTCATTGGCTTTTTCGTCAAGCTAATACACATCCCCATCAACAACATTATTGTGGGATCGTAAATGGAGCAGATGTCAAGGGACCAGAACAATAACAATCTTCAATACTAGAATACATCAAATAGATTTTTTTTTTCGTTAACAGCTGGCATTACACTACATACATATATACAAATACCTATGTGCATTCAGCGAATGTCTTTTCTGCTCTCCCCTTTTCATTCATACATACAACATATATGTTTGTGAAAGCGTATTGAAGGGGTCTTAAATCATTTATGTTTCTATATTTAAAGGAATAATGAATCGTGTTAGCAATAAGAACCAATTGTAAAAAGAAATGCGTGACATTTTTCAGAGCATTGCTTTGGGCGTGCCCTCTCCTGCCCATTAATAAATGCGAGACACATTTTCCACTACTATGCTTTTTCGAGTCTATTCGTACTGGTATGCAGCCAAACTTCATTATTGGGCAGATCATTACAAGTGGAGTGGAATTATACATATCTCTGTCCTTTTGTCTAGACTCTAGATTCGATTTGAAGCCAATCAGTTTATGTATGTTTTTGCATGGTAACATTTATGTAAATTAGCACACGAAATGTTGACGAGACGGCGAGTATATTCTTGCGAATATTTTCAAAATGAGAAAGTATATTTCGGTATATTTTTAACGGTTGGACGGTATATTTTATTGAAAACTCCCCGGTCACACAGATTACGTGACGTGGAATGCTCGAACCGTTGTTCGAGAGCAACAGGATTAGCTGAAATGTTAGACTTTGTAGTGATATTCACAAAGGGCGGCGTAGTACTTTGGAACTCGCAAACCTCTGGAATCAACTTCTCGTCATGCATAAACAGCCTCATACGTGGCGTGATTCTGGAGGTAAGCCCTGTTTATGTTGGTGTGCTGTTGCTGCTTTGCTCATCCAATGCACATTCATGATTGATCTTTGTTGTTCGTTGATAGGAGCGAAACACAGAGTCCAAATACTTTGAGGAGGATCAGCTGGCGGTGCAGTTTAAACTGGACAATGAGCTGGATTTGATATATGCGGCTCTCTTCCAGAAGGCCATCAAACTCAGTTACTTGGATGCCTTTCTTGCCGACATGCAGTTCGCCTTTAAGGAGAAGTTCGGCAGTATACCGGCCCTGGAGCGCCTGGGCAGTGAATACGATTTTGAAGGCGAGTTCCGTAGCGTGCTCACCGAGGCCGAAGAAGCATCCTCGAAACAGGTGAATGCCCCCAAAGCTATGCGCTCCTACAATGAGTCGCAAAAATCGAAGAAAACAGTCGCATCCATGATCCAGGATGATAAAAAGCCTGTCGAGAAGCGTGTCAACATACAGGAGCGCGAGGCGCATCCCAAATTGCGACCCTCATCAACACCACTCACAACGGACGACATTATACAGGAAAACCGTCGAAAGTTGCGCGAAAAACTAACGCCCACCAAGAAGGCGGCCGATACAAAGTTAAGCGTTCCTGTCAAGCAGGGGTTCACCGAGAAGGCCGGAAAAAAGCCAAGAGTATGGGATCTTGGCGGTAACTCCAAAGATGCCGTCCTACTCGATCGTTCAAAGGACTCGCCCGAGGATGTTCAGTACCAGAGCGTCAACAACGAGGTGAGTGCAGACTAGCACTCTAGCCCAAACGGTGTGGGGCCAGGAAAGAGAGCGCGGGATGCCGGGCAGTCAGCCAGTTTGATCTTTATCCCTATAGGTGACATCCAATTTCGATATTTAAAATATTTTGAAAGCAATCGTTTCAGTCTGAGATATCGAGGTGCGAACACAAAATTCGGTTTCTCTAGAGCAGATTTAGGATCAAGAATATACTTATGTATGTATATACAGACATGTGTACATACCTTATGGAGTCAGAACCTTATGCAGCTGGATCGACTTTCACATGCTTAGCAATGGGTTTGCGGTGCGTAGACAGCAAGCTAAACGAAACATTTTTTAAATGGCGGCAATCTCTGTGTAACTTTTACACGAATTAAAGGATACATACATATGTATGCATAACGGGCATAATCATGAACAGTTGGTGGGTATTATCTTTATAAAGATTAATCCTATTGGTTTGGTCGATCTGATTGGATGTGTGTGTGTGTGCATGTGTATGATTCCTCCGACACGAAAGAGAGGGAGTACGCAACCTTGTATAATTATGTACATCATGATCTATCTAGTGCATTTCGTAAAGTGTTTCGCCAGAGGATGAATTGCTAAGCTGAGCCTGTTTTAAGCCAAGTCAATTTCAATTATAGCAGAGCCGTGCATGCTTCAATACTTGTACATACATATGTACATATACCACCAGGCAAAAGCTTTCGAATGAGAGAAGTAGAAGCTACCCTGGATGCAAAATATGAGCTAACTCCAAATGAAAAGTAAAATAATTTCCAGAGAAAACTATTCGTCCTGCTTTTCTATCCTTTTTCATACCCTATACTCTTACAGTTTAGCGATAACAGAAGGAAACCGTTTCGACCCCATAAAGTGTATATATTCTGGATCAGATCGGATCATTATTGTAGGAAAAATAGCGAAACTAATTTGCAGTGGCTAAGCTTCCCGTTCCAGCGCTTACTCATTCTCTCTCTCATTCACACTGTCTTTAACTAATTGTGACCTTTATTTGGGTAGCTGGTGGGTACCATGCATGGCGTGATCCCAGACCTGGATGTGGAGGACGAGGAAGATGTAGATAGTGCTGAGGACTCTAGCGAGGAGGACGATATGCACAGCCATTCACTAGCGCCAAAGAATTACAGGCGCGGAGGTGGTTTGCTGTCCTATTTCAGGGGAATCGTTGGCGGAAAGACCATAGTACTGGCCGATCTGCAACCGGCGCTGGAGAAGATGCGCGATCATTTGATATCGAAGAACGTGGCGTCCGAGATAGCGGTCAAGCTGTGCGAGTCAGTGGCCACAAGCCTCGAGGGCAAGCAGATGGGGACCTTCGACAGCATTGCCAGCCTGGTGAGAGAGGCACTGACGCAGTCGCTTGTCCGCATTCTATCGCCCAACCGGCGAATCGACATCATACGGGATGCCCTGGAGTCCAATCGTGGCGGCAAGCCGTACACAATCATCTTCTGCGGGGTGAACGGTGTGGGCAAGTCGACGAATCTAGCTAAGATCTGCTTCTGGCTGATTGAGAATGACTTTAACGTGCTAATTGCTGCCTGCGACACCTTCCGTGCCGGAGCCGTCGAGCAACTGCGCACCCACACACGCCATCTGAATGCCCTGCATCCGGCGGCCAACCACAACAACCGCACTATGGTCCAGCTGTATGAAAAGGGTTACGGCAAGGACGCTGCCGGCATTGCCTTGGAGGCCATCAAGTTTGCGCACGACACAAAGGTGAACGTAGTCTTGGTGGACACAGCTGGGCGCATGCAGGACAACGAGCCACTCATGCGCTCCCTCTCCAAGCTGATCAAGGTGAATAATCCTGATTTGGTGCTCTTCGTGGGCGAGGCTCTCGTTGGCAATGAAGCTGTCGATCAGCTGGTCAAGTTTAACCAGTCCCTCGCAGACTACTCCTCTAACGAAACACCTCACATAATCGACGGCATTGTCCTGACAAAATTCGACACCATCGACGACAAAGTGGGCGCCGCCATTTCCATGACGTACGTCACTGGTCAGCCCATCGTCTTTGTCGGCACCGGCCAGACCTATGCGGACCTCAAAGCGATCAATGTGAATTCCGTCGTCAACTCGTTAATGAAGTAAATTAAGTGAATCAATGGCAGAATGAAACCGCACCGTACCCATGTGAAGCAATCTATCTGATTGAAAGATCTGCTTTCAAAATGTCCACCTACCTACATACTGTGGCTCTGCTCTGCTTAATTAATCCTTATCTGTATCACTTTGTTTAGACCACTTTAAATAAAAGTCCTGCGTCCTGATTCATGTTGTATAAATATGCAAGTACTTTTTCTGAGGAAGGATCTGGGGATCGCCACAGAGGAGTTGAATGGAGAAAGGAATGGCAATAGAAACAAGTCCTGTTTATTACTGATACATTATTATTTTTAGGTAGATGTGGTAGGTATGAAGAGTTTTGGATAAGATAGTGCTGGAGGGGGAGGTGCGGGTCCTAATTGAAATCTACTTGTAAAACTCGTGCTCCTGTTCGTCCTTCTTGATGTTGTTCTTGTAGCCCTTCTCGAAGTCTTTGGCAAGAACGATGTAACGATTTTCACGCACCGCGTGCATACCCGCCTCCTGGCAGATGGCGTTTATGTCGGCACCAGAGATCTTGTCCGGTCGAGCAACGAACTCCTCCAGATCGACATCCTCGCTGAGGTTCATCTTGGAGGTGATTGTGGAGAATACCAAACGCTTCTGGCGGCGATCGGGGAGCGGGAACTCGATCTTTCGATCGAGGCGTCCGGGCCGCAGCAGAGCAGGATCCAGGGTGTCGGCGCGATTTGTGGCCATGATCACCTTCACATTGGTGGTCTGGTCAAAGCCATCCATCTGGTTTAGGAGCTCCAGCAATATGCGCTGGACCTCGCGATCGGCCCCGGTCTGGGCATCGAAACGCTTGGTTGCAATCGCGTCGATCTCATCAATGAATATAATAGCTGGAGCGTTTTCCTTGGCCAGCCGGAAGACATCGCGCACCATGCGCGGACCTTCGCCGAGGTACTTCTGCACGAATTCTGATCCGACCACACGAATAAAGGAGGCGGTAGTGTGGTGAGCCACGGCCTTAGCAAGCATGGTCTTGCCACAGCCAGGCGGTCCGTACATGAGGACACCGCGGGGGGGATCGATGCCGATCTGTTTGTACAGCTCGAAGTGGGTGAGGGGTAGCTCGACTGCCTCTCGAATCTCCTGCTTTTGCATGTCCATGCCACCAATATCGGCGTAGCTTACGTCGGGCTTCTCGTCGGGCTGTAGCATTGATATAGAACTATCCGCCTCGGGTGGCAGCACATCTACCAAGGCGTTGCTGTGCTTGTGCAGCGCCACGGAAGCCGATGGCTTTAGCAACTCACGGTCGATAGTGGACAGGATGCGAACATAGTAATTAGACCCGGTTGTGGAGCCAACAATACCAGTGTTCTGATCGACCGCCTCCAGGAATTGCCCAATCACCAGCGGAACCGACTGTATGCGCTTCACCTCCTCCTGGGCATGTAGATATTCCTTCTTTAGATTACGCTGCTCATCCTTGATGTACTCCTCCTGCACCTCTATGAACTCCAAGGTTCTTTGAAGTTTCTGAAAGAGGGTTTGGCTTAAATCGCTATATCTGGGCGAATGCGAATTTGTACGCATATTTACCTTATAACGCACATACAAATCATCAATGTCCAATTCATCCAAAGAGCTGTGCGCATCTTTCGGCTTGAAATCGCAGACTTCGTCCTGGTCCATAAATTAACAGCTTATGATATGTTCAGAATATGCTCAGAAAATATATTTACCTTCTCAGTCATAAGTACGTCTATTGTGTACGGCATATCTTTTCAGACTTTATTAATTTTAAAAATGGGAAAATGACTCGTCAAAACCAGCCTACGGCAGTGTAGGGTTGGGAGAAATATCGATAGCGCAATCGATACTACCGATGGTTGACAAATTAGCCGACCATGGATTGTTTCGCTTCTCCGTCGATAGAATCGACCTTCAAGATTGTTCATTCAGTCCAGTACTCCGACCAGAAAACTTTGTTTGCTTATTGAAAAGTAATACGTTACATATCGCTGAAGTTGAAAGATAAATGACCGCCACATCAACGTCAAAGAATGGAACAAATTATTATAGATTAATGAGATTATATTAAATTTAATTGCATTTTTAATTTGTTTAACTTATTTGATCGCCAGTATCTTCATGTTTCCAAGACACAGACCGGGCTGGGCTGTTAACAAAATGTTTTAAGTTGTTTTCCTTTTGGGACCAAGTACTGCTCCACAGGGTAGTGCAAAGGGGCGATGTCGGCGATTTGGACTCGAAACTATCCAATTTTGAATAGGAAGGATGCTTCGCGACGCCGTTTTATAACTTTGCCACGGGCGCAAATATTCCTTGGCACGGCCATGCTGCTCCACCAATCAAAGAAGTCTGCAGATGTTATTCCCAGCCATATGCAAATTCTCTGTCATATTTTCAAACTGCGGAATGTGCAAGGGGGCTGCAGATGGGTTTAATCAAAGTTGTCAGCGCTTATTTCGTTGATTGTCCTCCTCCTCCGATCATGCAAGAGCCGTCAATCCCACTAAAAGCAACATCCTGCATGGATCCAATTTGCATTCTTTGTTTTATTAACCTTTTGTTCAATTTTCACACATTTTCAAAAATGTAAACCAAACTGCCTGAGAAGTGTAACCGTACGGAAAGCGGTTTTCACCTATGGTCACTCTCTGCACTGTTTGCTAGCAAACGTGTTTTTCGATCTGAATACTGGGCTAAAACAAATGTAGATGTTTCGAGCTGCTTGAAAACTACCATCGGATTAATCGGGTTTTTTTTATCTGACTTCTGAATACTGTGAGCTTTCAAAACTTCCTTAACATGGGTGTGAAATTTGTACCAAAAGTTAAGGTGTCAACAGATATATACGTCACAAAAATTCCAGTGGCGCCAGGTTAATTACACGGCGCTTTCATCCCCGTGATGGATTTTGATTGGTTTAATTTATTTCAACCAATAATAATATTTAAAAATTTAAAATTTTGAATTAAAAAAAAAAACACAAAAAATGTAAGGGTTATATTAATTTGAAAAATAAAACCATAGAGGCACAAACGAGCGTTGGCTTAGCATTTTCCGAGACATTTCCATCAGCTTGTGACATACCTTGGCAAGGTATTTTCAGCAATTTCAAAGCTAGTTTTGGCTATTTTTTTTGGAACTATCTGGCCCCTAGCACTAACCAAATAGTATAGTAGATTGTCAATTTAAAGGAAGCGAAACGTCACCGCAGAATGTGCGTCGCGAAGTCCCAGGCCTCTGCCAACGTCGTAGCTACAAGTATTAGTGCGTGTAGAACACGCAGCTAGAAGTCCCAGCTACATTTGTATAAGTGCTTCCTTTAAATTGACAATCTACCTTACTATTTGGTTAGTGCCCCCAGGTCGCAAAACAAAGCAACTGTTCGGACATCTCGAACAAATACCAAAACAAACGATAATTCAAAAAAAATACAACGGACTTTACTGTACATCTAAATGACAAACATCTCTCCGACGCAGACGTGGACAAGTCTGAGGTGCCGATGGTCTAGCTCCTACGTACTCTACCTGAGATACGACTCAGAATACCTCAGTTCTCTTTCATTTTATTTTCGATAATGGCGGGAATATAATGTAAATAGAACTTAAATGCTAATGTTGATTAGGTGCTAGGTCCGTCAAGCACACCATCATGCTCAGCACCCAGCTGAAAATTTGAATGGAGGCCAACGTGTGTGGCAATATTTGAGGATGATTTCTATTGATAATCCGGAATACCTCCACAATATTTATCCGAAGGGCTTGTCCGAACACCTTGCGTCGTACTACATCCTGGATCTGTGTCATCTCTTCAACTTCTCCACATCCTCAACTCCTGTTGGGAACTCCTGCTCCCAATTGTCCCCATACGTGCGGGTTTACAAGCCCGTGATGGCTACATCGCAATGTTGTTGCCGCTTCTGAGGCTCAAATAATGGAGGTCGTGCAGGACGGGATATCTCTGCGAGGCGTAAATGATTGGCTTCAATCAAGTTGTTATCCAGGTTACGGATCTCCAGCATATTTAGCACCTTCGTCAGGTCGCCGAGGATCTCCATACTTCCTATCTGCTGGACTCTCAGTGACGCCACAGTCAGATGGACGGTACGGTAGTGGATGCCATCAATATTGCATAAAGCTCGATTTCCACTCTGAAATAACTCACTCTCCTGCTTTCATACAAAACTTGAATTCTTAACGGATTTCATTTTGTGAATAAACTCAAAACAATGTACCCCGAGAGCTGCAGAGCGAAATATATTGCAAATTCTATCGCAAGAAAGTTTTAGCTTTAAAAAATAATACATTTTAGGCGAAATTAAATAAATTTTCGATATGCTGGCATCTTCTCCCAATGATAGACCCACAAAATACCTCGTACCTATTTACGTGCAGAAACTATTTTGCGGTCTAAAATGGGTTTCTTTCATTGAAGCTGAAAGTTGTATTTTTCCAAAACAATATGTAAATAAAATATCATGTGTGCTCTTCAATCGAAGTAATCAAGTCCAGTCCATTTTACCACAAGCACAACTTCAAAGTAGTAGGGACGCGGCAGCAAGTAGTCCGATAGTATGATGATATTCGTAAAAAATCGTTGTTAGCGGCTGGCCGCAAAACATCGATACTATCGATGGTGCTCCCGCGGTGTTGACACCTCTAACCTACACTTCTCATAAGAAAACACATTTAACTAGATATCAAATCTGATATGTGTGCGTGCGTTCACAATATATAAATATGAGTTAAATAGTTAAATTGAATTAGTGGATAAAAAGGGCACGCACCCATCAATGGGATAGCGTTAACATATAATAAATGGATAAAAATGCTATCTGCAGCCGCCGCTGCTTTTTGTGCAAGAGAGAAAAATCGTTCTTGTTCACCACTGCCACACTCCTCAGTGACAGTATCGTCGTCCTTCTGCCATCGCCATCGCCGCCGTCGTCGTCTTCTGCCCCTGCCTTTGCCCCTGTCCGTTCCTTTGCTCTACGCACGCATCGATTTGGGATAAACGTTAGATACCACCTAACGCAGTTGTTAGAGTGGAAAAAAATAATAAGTACATAACAAATAAATCAAATGCAATGCTCTGCGATGTATTTTTTGAGAACAAATTAAATTAAAATATACGGTCCAAGTGGGCTGGACGCCATACGGAGGGAAACGAATTAAAGTGCAATACAACACTGGGGCATGGACAAAATAAAACGGAATCACACAAGCCTAAATCGAAACAAAAAAATTGAAACAGAAGGCGTCACATGCAGTTGTTTTTAAATCATAAAACGTAAACGGGTAAACACAACAAATACAAAATTATCAAATAATTATTTGTATGCAGGTTCATATTTCACCCCATGACTGTTACTGTGACTGTGTGTGGCTCAAGTACTCTTTTTCGAGTTGTTTCTGAGTGGAATGAGCATAAACGTTTGAAAGTTTGGTGTGTGTGTGTGTTGTGTCTGAGGGTGTTGTGTGTGTGTTGTGTGTTTGTGTTGTGTGTGAGTGTGTGTAGTTGTGTTGCCACTTTCCATCTTCTTCTTGGTCATCTTCTCGTAGTTGATGCTTATTTGTCAACAAACAAAAAATCTAATAAGATACTATAATTAATTTAAAATGAATGATATTGTGTTTTCTCCCTTTGCAGAAATAGTAATATAAGTTTGTGCAGCGAATTGGTTAGTGGCTTCCTAATGAAGACAATGTCCCGCTTCGGCCTGCGCCGGGGCTTTAAGTTGTCGGAGGAGCAGGTCACTGGCAAGAATCCAATTGGACCAATAGCGGCAATAAGACCGTCGCAAGCAGGTCTATCCGGACGAAAGAAACGCCAGCACAGGCATGAACCAGACGAAGAGGAAGCAGAGCAGCAACAGCAAAAGTCACTGCCACTGGAAGGGGAACAGGAACACGAAAAGGTGCCAAGGGCTCAGCAACAACCGTCTCTGATCTGTAGATTACCCCTAGAGCGTTTACCCCGTCTGGTGGAGAGGCTTCAGCTTCCCATAGAGGAGCAGCCACGGGAAAGAGACCTTGACCTTAATTTTGGCCCCGGTTCGGGGTCGGGGTCCGGCCCAAAAAAAGTCTTGTGTTTGTACTGTGATAGAAAGTTCGCCTCTGGCAAGCTGCAGGGCAAGCACGTGGAGAAGTTCCACACGGAGCGACAGGAGAGACGCTGCAGCAGTCGCTCCACCAGCAGCTCCGGGAGCTGCCATCCGAACGGAGGATTTCCAGGATGCCAGCACTGCTCAGGCAACAGGAAGCATTCGATGCTGCCACAGATCTGTCTGCCCGTCAAGCATCTGGATCAGTTGTTCTTCCATCTCATTCAGATGCACTCAGACAAGTACTTTGGCTGCCACCCGTGCCGACTGCGCTTTCAAGACGCCGACCAGCTAACCGAACACCGTCGACACCACCACCAGCTCGAGGAGTCACAATCGCCAAAGCCCGGACTGATGGGAGCCGACGAGCCGGTGCTGTTCCGCCTTGGTCTCACTCAGAACCGATTGCCCAGTCATCGCAATAGGCAACGGCGAGCAGGGGAAGACGAGCAGCCGCCCCTGGCCATGCCCCACAAGTCAAGGAGCAGCAGTCGGACGGCAGCCCAGCGACAGCACCAACAGCATATGCCGGCAACTACCATTCAGCCCGTGGGACAAGGCCATGGGCAAGCCCATCCGGATGAGTCTCCTGATTCTGTCTTCCGGCAGCCCAGCTCCTCAGCCTGTGTTGCAATCAGCTCCAGTTGTAACACCAGCAACAGCGCTAGCTCGCATGTGTTCGATGAAAACTTTTACAAGGACGTCATCCTGAATGTCCAACAGAATCTGCAGAACTATCTCGATGGACAGCTCTTCACGCCCCCCATAACGTCAGCATCAATCTCAACCTCAAGAAGCTCCTCTGGCTGTGGCTTTGACTATGGCTCCACATCTACAGCCACTGCCACAATCACATCCGATCTGGTCATGCTGCATGGTACTAGTCAAATGAGCCACGCTAGTGCCTACCCAACTCTACTGACATCGGAACAATTCGGCTCAACGGCAGAGCTTCTGCCCCCGGCAAAGTTTCGGCGCCGGCCCCACACGAAGCACAGCTGGAAGTGGAAGTGGGACTATGTGAAGAAATTCACCATCATCAACGAGGGCGGGCGGCTGGTAAAGAAACTTAAGCAGCCCACCTTCCTTGGCCTGCGCGATCTCTCAAAGCTGGATATGTGGACGCAGCTGACCATGCGCCAGAAGCATGATGTCTCTCTCGCCATCGCCCGCACCAGCAATGGTGGCGTTGGCGGTGGGGGTGCGTGCATTGATGGGGATGCTGGAAATCACATGCAAATGGAGCAGCAGCGTCTGCTCGAGCAGCTTAATCTTATTCTTGACCATCGTCTCCTACCGCACATCATCCTCGAGCAGAACGAACAGGCGATAATCAAGTGCGAGAACGAGGAGGATGCCAAGCTGGAGAACTACGGAAGTGTCCAGGGTGTCAAGGATGATCTGCTGGACCAGAACTTCGCCGACGAGAGTTTTCTCTCTCTGCTTCAGCTGCAGCCTAGCCAAGGGGCCAGCCTGGAAAGGATCAGGGAACGGGAGCAGGACCAGGACAACATGACATTGTCCTCTTTGGTGCTAAGTGGAGAATGGGCGCGACCACGTCTCTATCTGTGCATATGCTGCGGGGCCAAGTTTGACAAGCGAAAATCGCTGGAGGAGCACAAGACGTTCCGTCACTCGCACATCTATGCCACGCACTACGAGGTGGTTGGCAGGGAGCTGCTGGCGGGGAACCTGCTGCGCCATCTATTCATACCTAAACGGGCCCTGGGCCGGTTCGCGGCGGATAGCAACTGTATTCGCTGGCCGCAGCACAAGCAGGAGGAGCGTGTCCAACACGAGGAAGAGAACACCTCTTCGTCCACTTCTTCCAGGTCGTCGTTCGAGGCTTCCACACCGACGCCGACGCCCATGTCGGGTCTGGAACAGCAGCAGGCATCTCCCGCGTCCGGGACAGGGACGACCTCTTCCTCGTCTTGTTCGCTAAGCTCATCCTCTACATCCACCTCTAACTCCCATTCCCATTCTACCTCCACTTGCAACACAGCTAACACATCGTCGACGCTTTCATCTTTTTCTCCTCCGTCGAGCTGCACAAAGTGCGGACGGAAGTGCAGCGGCCTTATGGATCTCTACCGCCACATGCTGGACTGCTCTGGCGACTACATCTGGTCGCTGGCCAAGAAGCGAAAATATCGTTACTACTGCGGTACCAAGAAGCGTCGCCCCTGCTCAAAGAAGCCGCTAAGACAGTTGCCCAACCGGAAGAAGCTTGAGGACTCTCTGGATGCCGAGGGAGAGGCTGAGAACGAGAATGAGGACGATGGCGAGGAGGAGGGCGAGGGAGATGTCGAGTGCGAGGAGAGTGCCTCCAATTCATCGAAGATTAAGAACTCCCCCCGTCAGAGACCCAGTGATGGTGAGTACCAGAACCATGCAGCATTGCCCAGAAACTGATTTAACTTGATTTTTTTTCTTATCCTATTCAAGCTGAGTCCATACGCAAAATGCTGGAGAACTTGCCACCCAAGCGCGTCTGCAAGAAGATATTCCCCGTGGACAACAAGGCCAAGCGCAAGTCGAAGAACAAGTCGAAGTCTATGTCGAAACAGCAGAGGAGCACAAAGAAGATATACAATCAGCACCTCCTTCGCAACACACGGTCCTCGGTGGTGGCTGCCGCCTCCGCCCTTGCAGTGTCAGCAGGGCAACAGAAGCGCTGCCGACGCAAAAAACAGAAAATACTGCAGAAAAAGCAGAAAGTAAAGTCCGAATTGGTCGCCAAGGGAGAACGCAGATCAGAGAACAAATCCCCCCCTGCATTGTTAGTCGTTGAGTCAGAGCCGCAGGGTCAGACAGAACCGCAGGCCCATTCGCAGCCACAGACGCAGCCGGAGGTAAAGCCACAAGCCACATTCCCGGTCAATTTGAGATCTCCCGTTGAGCTTAAGCCAGCGCTGGCTGTTCCTCAAGCTGTGGATCCCGATACAGCACCAACAGGTGGAGAGCTTCCTCCACCCACAGCATCCAGCAAAGAGCTGGAGCTGGAACGGTGCACAAGACAGCGGCGAGAGCAACGGGAAGCTGCCTCGTCCACGGCCAGCAAGCCGCCGATGCTCACGCCGCCGACCACTCCTGTTCTTTCTGTTGCTGCTCCTCCTGCTCCTGCTCCTGCCACGGCCAACAAGTCCTCGCCAGTTGCTCCCAGACTCTCGGTTAGCATTCGACAGCCCAGTTCAATTGCAGGGGTGAAGCGCAGCAAGAGGATTAGTGACTGCATTGCCATGCTCACTGGGAAGCTAGAGGAAAAGATGAAGACTGAGCAGGTGACGCCAGCATCACCGCTCCCGCCACGGCCACCGCCGCCAATTCTCGAAAAAGAGGAGGAGCAAGACTGCAATATGCATACAGAGACGACGCTTCCCCCGAAAGCTGATGCAGGGAGAGAGCTACTGGAGGCCAAAACGCCCAAGCGGAAGGCTATGTCCAGGCGCATCATCAAGTTGGATGCAGCAATGGGGCCCAAGCCCGATGCAGGGCCAGTCTCCGAGCCTCTGGAAAGGCAATATGCTGAAGCTTCAGAACTAGTCGCGCCTGCACTTCCTATCCGTGTGCTTTCTACTTTCGCTCCGGCTGCTGATGTTTCCATTGTTCCCGTTGCTTCCACCCTGGTGCTTCTAGCATCCTCTGCACTTCCCGCCACTCCGGTGCGAACCCCCACCAAAGCAGCAAGCAAGCAGTTGGCAGCCCCATCCCCGACGGTGGCTGCCTTAAAGCTATATCCATCGGAACAACCACAACCACAAGCAAAACCATTGACCGCGCCGGTACCCGTGCCTGTTCCCATGCCCCTCGGACTGCAGGGGATGGGAGCATCGTTGGCAGGTCCGTGTCCGTGTCCGTTTCCGGGTTCGGTTTCAGTGCATGGTAACATGAACCTGCTGCCGAAGCTCCCCTTGTATCTTCCACACGCACAGCTCCATCCGCATGCCAATCAAAATCAAAATTCAAATCCGAACGTTAATTCCACCATGTACGTGATGGAGCCGCAGCCCCTGAACCTGACCAGCCAACGCGGATGCCTCCAGAAGCCAATACTGCCAAGCACCGAACGTGACGATTTACAGACTGGACTGCATCACGGACGATCGAGTGGAATGCCGGCCCGGAGGCAGACTATTTGCGGATTTGAGGCCCGCAACGTGCTCGGCCTGGAGATGGACATGGAGCCGCTCGACTTGTCCAAGAAGTCAGCGAGGAAATCGTCACCAGGTCCGGTTGCGGCTCCAATGAGAGTCCCCCAGGAGATGTCAATGCCAACGCCAAAGGCAATGCCGATGCCGATGCAGATTCCAATTCAAATGCCGATGCCTATGCCGCTTCCCTTGGGACCAGCTGCTGCCGTATCATCCGCTGCACTGCAAGGCCTTCCAGTAAATCTTCTAGGGCCAGGTCCAGGGCCACGTGCAGGTGCATGTGCACGTACAGGTACAGTTCATGCAACGGTTTCATTGTCTTCGCACTATTACTCCAACCTGGACCTACTCAAGATACCCCAAGTGCGCAATCCTGGGACTGGGACTACGCCGGTGACAAGAACCGGCAGTGTGGTTTCCCCATCCAATGTGAGCCTCTGTAGCGCTTCCGCTATCCCCGTACATCTGCCAAAATCAGCAGGTGGAAAGAAACGCTCGGCGGAGGCGTCGGTCGGCAAGAAGGAGAACAGCGGCAAGGGGATGCCAAAGGGATGCCTGCGCATGGATGAGGTGGTCAACAATCACATTGACGACGCCATCAATTCGGTCATATTGGCAGTCCAAGCCGGTCTGCCTGACGACGATGACAAGGAAAAGGAGAAAGAAAGGGAAAAGGAAAAGGAGAGGCAGAAGCAAACGAATTTCAATCTGCTACCAAAAGTTGTTCATCCGCCGAGGCCGATAAACTCCATCGTTGCCACAGCAGCAGTCCCAGCGACAGCCACTGCCACAGCCACTGCCACAGCCACCGCCACAGCAACAGCTGCGGTCACAGCGGCAGGCACCGACACAACCACCGCAGGTGTCATGCTATTTACCCCGATCTTGATGGGGGAAAAGATTGTGGCTAGCTCATCCGACACAGCAGTCCCACCCCAGACAACGACACCAGCGAAAACCCTGCTGACGCCAAAAAAGCGTTCCATGCGCTCGAAGACCATCGACTGTCGCTCCGCGCTGATCGCTATTGAGGAGCTCTCAGTTGACCCACGACTGCAGTGCCATCAGCTTCAGTCAAAGCCGCCAGTGAACGGAGAGGCGAAGACAGACGCGCACCTGCCTGGAGTTCATTCGATGGCTCCCGTGGCCGCAGCACAGGTACCAGCTCAGCCGCTGTCGACTGTGGTGGAACTTCCTCCAGTGGACTGTGTAAATGAACAAACGGTGGAGCTCGATATGCAGCTGCAGCCAGAGCCGGAGCTAGAGCTGCCTGCTCGGTCAGCTCCAGAACCCTTTGCGCTTGTAGAGACGCTTCCATTGTCGGCTCCTTCTGTGACTGTGTCCGTGATTTCCGTTGCGCCTGCACTGCCTCCGAGCATGGCTGTGGCTGTGGCTGTGACGCCAACCCCCACGGTCGAGACGAACTGCAGCTCGCTGCTCGAGGAGCACAGCAGCAACATGAACAACAATACCTCCTCGGGCTTCCACAGTCTGGCGCAGTCCGAACTGCCCAGTGTCCAGGATCAGTCGGTCACGGCGGCGAGCCATCTGGAAGCGACAGAAGAGCTGGGCGCGAAGGAGAAGGATCAGGGGCAGGAGGATCAGGAGCAGGAGGTAAAGCAGCGAGTGGTGGAGGAGCACGTGCCCGTCACCAAGAAGAAGCAGCGTCGCCGCAGAAAGAACGAGCTGGCAGCTATTGTGGCCGACCAACTGCTGGAGAGCTTTAAGATCGACAACGCCCGTCGAGACAACCTCAAGAAGCTGGAGAACTTGGCATACGAGAAGAGCGAGGATCTGCTGCTGACAGGCATGCTGCTTATGTCCAGCACGAAGCGGAACGCAGCCATGGCCCCCTCCTCCAACTCCACATCCTCATCAAAGCTATCCCGGAACTTTACTGTGAAAGAGGCGGCAGAGGCGACTTCGGTGCCTCCTGTCCGAGGGCGACCGAAGCGGCGACAGAGCTGTTACTACCGCAGCCGTGGGAAAGCTGCGGGCGGAAAGGCGACAAACGAGAACATCAGCATGCTCAAGTCGACATTGGAGTCCTTCTCCATTGGGATCGAAAAACAGCTACTGGCCAAGGAGGCCAAGGGGGCGATGGAGGCAGCCAAAGATACGGCAGCCCTGCCGGCAGTAACGACCGCCGGCCAGCCGTCGGCATCCTCCATATTACGGCCGAGCATTCTGAGCAGCGCCGCCAAGAAGCAAATGTACCAAAAGCGGAAGGCGGAGCTAGAACTAGAAGTGGAACTGGAGAAAGAGAGGGAGAGGACAACTGCTGCAGCGGCGGCCACCTTCAGTCGCGATCCTCGCCTAAATAAAAACATACACAAGGAGCAGCCAGAGCATGGACAGCTCTCAATCAGGTCCCCAGCACCTAGACCAAACGTGCCATCGGCGGGAGATAATGATAACGCTGAGGAGGAGGACAACTACCTCACGGAGATAGCGAAAAACGTGAACGAGAAGATCATGTCGGCCACCACCAACGAAGACTTCGAGTTTGCCCACGACAAGTTCGACCAGGGGGAGCAGGAGGCCGGCATGGATTTGGATCCAGACCAGGACAAGTTCTATCGGCCCCCCACGTCCATGAGTGTGCGCAGTGCGCCCAACCTGAACGATGAGCACTCAAACTTCGGCTCCATGTGCGACGAGAACACGAACACGGAACTCATGGACATGGACCTGGACGACGAGATGAGCGTTTACACCAGCTACTCGCAGGACCTGGGTCGCATCGGGCGTGGTCGGCGGCGCCGAAGACGTCGCAGCGTCCTTCTCACCCGGCCCAAGAAGCGCACACAGCGGAGCCACGTCGATGCCGAAAAGTACTCGTGCTCCCTGTGCGGCAAATCCTTCTTTACGGCCACTTCTCTGTCCAAACACAATATGACCCTGGCCCACGTATCCAAGCTCTCCGAACAGGAGTACATTCAGTCCCAGACGGCGCCATCGAGTCCACGCGACCTTGCGGTACAGCTGGACCTGGGGCTTGAGCTAGGGCCGGGGCAGAAGCAGGGGCTTGGCTACGGGGATAAGAAAACACAAATGAGCCAGCAAGCGACGATGACGATGACGACGACGACGACGACGACGACGACGACGACGACGACGACGACATCGACGACGACGACGACATCGACGACGACGACGACGACGACGACGAAAACAACGACAACGACAGAACAGATTCGTGCCTCGGTCCTGATGCCGCGCTCTCAAATTATCCCTCAGGTGGAGCACCAGCAGCAACATCAACATCAACAGCAACAGCCACAGCAACACCATCAGCAACAACAGCAGCAGCAGTTGAATCAGCAAGTGCATCATGTCATCACTGAGGCCAGTCTGCGGCTACACGACAACCAGCAGAGTCCGCCGGGAACTTCCGCCGCCCGCCTCAATCTGAACCCAGACGAGCGGCTCTTCTACGAATGCTGCAACATCCTCAAGAGTGCCAAGACGCCTCGCCTGTCCAGCTCCACCACAGCAGCCGCTGTTACAACTTCAGCTCAACCAACCACAAGCTCCGCGCTGGCCACGACGTCCGTGATCGTTACTGCCGGGCGCAAACAGCTGCACCCGCCTCCGCCACCTGCGTCGGCTCCGGCTCCGCCTTCGCTATCGCCTCAAGCCTCGCCCTCTCTGTCTCTTTCTCTGTCGCATCCAGCTTCACCATCGCCAGCGCCACCTTCGTCTCGGACGCCTCCTCCGCATCCGTTTCCGGCTTCGCATGGTGTAGAAAGAATGCCAGGAGAAGCTGCACCCACTGTCTGCCATCAACTAGTCATCCAGCAGCTGTTCCGCAATCCACCCGCTGCCACACCCACAACAACCCCGATGTAAGTAGCTTGCCTTTTGCTCCTTGTTGCTTCCTGTTCCTAGTGACTGACTATATGTCTCCCAGCAGAAACCACAATCGGATGTCGCCCAGCTACTCGGCCATCTCGCAGTTTTCGGCGACCACCTCGCGGTTCAAGACGAAGGCCGCCATGAAGGGCTATGAGAACGTCAATCAGCAGATGGACATGGTAAACCTACAGCTGGCTAAGACCGGGCGTGGCGTCTGCAAGCTCACTGAGCTGGCGGACATCGCCTTGGGCACTGAAAAGCCTGGCGGTGACTTCGTGCCGCATCTTTCCCAAGGGATTGTCCCAGGTACCAGTGCTCCAATAGCAGCTGCCGCGCCGTCAGCCAGCCACCAGAAGCAGCAACAACCACAACCACCTCTACCCCATCCCCATCCACATTCAGAGCCGACACAAACGCCAACGCCCACTGGTACGCATACAGGCACTAGGACAACAACGACACCAACGCCGATGCCAACGCCGACGCGGCCGGTGGAACAGCAGAGCTCGACTTCATCAAAGACGATGATGCACGCGTCCATCATCAAAGCATCCGCGGGAGTGGCCAGCTCGGCGACACTGCCGCCCGCCTGCGGTCGGATCATCATACCGGATCGTCCGTTCAAGAATATCGGACTGGAGGAGAAGGCCACCATCATGTTCCAGAAGCCGAAGACCTGCGTGAACCTGCTTCAAGAGCAGGACAACAACAGCGTTTCCACAGTCAGCTACTCGGACCGTGACGACTATGACTTTGGCACTCTGAGTTGCGACGGCGACATGGAGCCAGAGCAGGAGCCGAAACCAGGTGCGCGATGTGTGGTCAGGACGGAGGATGCAGCTCTTGTGGAGGTGCCGCCGGGCGCAGTGGAAAGGGCTGTGTCCTCGTCCAGCTCGTCGACGTCCTCACCCTCGTCGCATGACAATACCCGTAGCGGGAGCAGAAGCAGCAGCAGCTCCAGCCGAGCCACGGCCAAGACATTCGAGAACAAATCCTTAATCATGGGCCGCATCTTCAAGCACGCCAGCACCAAGGCAGCATCAGCAGTGGTAGCAACTCCTGTCCAGCAGCTCCCCAGTCCGATGGAAGGACCGACGTTGACCAAGATGAAGGCGTTGCCAAAGAACCAGGCAAACCTTGACCAGATCTTCGATGAGCTTAGAGGAGGAGGTGCGGCCAAGGCATCAGAGGTGGAGTCCCCAGTGGGTATGGCGAATTGGGATCGGGATCATCCCCAACCGCACACCCATCCGCACCATCAGAAGGAGCCCATGGCAGCGCCGGCAGTTCCGACCGTTCCAGCAGCTATGCCCGCTCCAAGTACATTGCCGCGAAGCAGGTCTAAAAAGGCCAAAACAGGCCCACCAGCTAATTCCCCCATAAACATTGTTAAGCCACCCGAAGCATCGATCTCGGCTTCGGTCTCTGCTACGGGCTCCACCCCATCACTTTCTCGGAAGCCACGAAAGGATCTGAGCAAGCTGCAGTCGGAGCTGGGAATGAGCCCGGAGGAGATCGAGCAGCTGATCGATGAGGGGCAGCGCAAGTCGAAGCGCCGCTGCGCAACCAACCGTCCCAAGAAGCTGGTGGAGACGTGGAGCTCTGACGAGTACGAGGAGTTCCTGTCCACCAAGGACATCATAGCCCTCATCGAGGAAAAGGAACAGCAGGAGCAGCGTCGCAAACGCAAAACCAGCGAAGCAAACGCCAACCATCTACAGCCAATTTGGTCGCCAGCGGCATCCAAAAAGACCCCAACGCCCTCTGTGATTGCCCGGCGGAAGAAAAGCGCCACAAAGAAGAAACCGCCGGTGCCTGTGCCGGTGCCGGTGTCAATGCCAGTGCCAGTACTGAATCGTCCAAAGACGGCGACTACAGCTAGGGCACGGCAGCGAGCCAACCCGAATCCTCGGTCCGACCCTGCACCAGAGCCGCCTCCAAAATCTAAATCAAAATCCAAATCGAAAGCTCCCACCAAGGTTAAGACTCCAACAGCGAAGTCAGCTGGCACCAGTAAAAGACATGGCAACGATATAGAGAGCGAGAGGGATATGTTGGTGGAGTCCAAAACAGAGACCTCGGCTAGGACGCGTAGCTCCAGACAGCAGACCAAGTACAGGCCACCGCCACCGGCGGGAGCCCTCGAAGTTCCTTTAGGGGAAGACGCATCTCAGCGGCAGCCGAAGTCGCAGGCGCAACCCTTCACAATGTCACCTACTCAGCGGACTAAGTCGCGCAGCAGCAGCTATAGTATAGCACCACCTCCTCCTCCTCCTCCTGCTGTGCCGGGAGCCAGAAGTAGTTCCTCCTCCACCGCCACAACCAATAGCAACAACAACAACAACAACAATAGCATCAGCAGCAACAAGAATCTGAAGACGAAGCGGAAATCACAGACGAACAGACAGTCGCCACCAAGACGCAAGCGACCAGCGAGCGAGAAGCAATTATACTACTGGAGCAGCTCCAGCGACGACGAGTTCGGTCGTGTGAAGGCCGATGGTGAGCCAGATGCAGCGGTACTGAGGGAACAACAAAAGCAGGGGCGACAGAATCCAGAGCCGCTGGCGGGGAAGCATTTTGAAGAGAGCGAGCAATACCAGAAGCACGGGTGGATAGTGGGCGACTCGCACAAGAAGCTGGTCAAGCTGCTGGCCATAGCCAAGGGCAGTAAAAAGGTCGAAAACTGCGGTGTGAAGCGTCGCACGCCCAAGCGCAAATGCTAGAAGCTAAAGCGCAAACACAAGCGGGAGCGGCTCCCATACTGCCATTATGTCGTCGTTCATCGCAGAACATCACCATCTCCTCTCCCTTCTCTTTTTGGCAGGACCTCCTCTGTAACTGTATGCGGGGTATATACAAAATATTTTTTCTTTATTTTAAACATCTAAGCGTTACATAATTTAGGTTTTTTTTTATTAAATGTATTTATAATTAATAAAACAAAGAAAAAGCGAACAAGCAACATATTTGAGCACAACATCCCAGTCGGACTTTGTTGTTTCCAAACAGTACTTCTGTATCGCTCCCTTTTCCACAAAGCATGCGTTCTTTATTCGTTACGTTCTCGCTTCAAGTTTACAGGGGGTGAAACACGCGGGAATCAGACCTTTTGTATACCCGGTACTCAAAGAGTAAATAGGGTATATTGCATTTGTGCGAAGAACGGTTGTATGTAACGAACAGAAGGAAATGTTTCCGACCCCAGAAAGTATATATATTCTTGATCAGCATCAATAGCCGAGTTGATAGAGCCATTTCTGTCTGTCCGTCCGTCTTGTTGAGCGCCTAGTACTCAGATACTATAAAAGCTAGAGCCCCCAAATGTTGCATCCAGACTTCTGTATGCTCACACTTTTACAAGTGTATTTCAAAAATGAGCCACGCCCCCTTCCGCCCCCGCAAAAGGGCGAAAACATCCCAAACCTACAATTTTGAAGATAAAAGAAAACATTCCGTAGGGAACGACCATATCTATCAGATCACCATTTGGGATCCGATTGGATCATTATTATGGCCACAATGAAGATATTAATTTGCAGTGGCTAAACCCACCCCGTCCCGCAGCTTATATTTCTTTTTTGCATATTCTCTCATTCACACTCTGCTTCGCGCAGTGTGACACGTATCTGCCTCTGCCTCTGCCGCGAGTCTGCAGTGTGTGGGTCCTGGGAAGGGGGGCGAGCTAAAGAAGCGTGTTGGTGTGAGAAGTGTTGTAGATGTAGATGACAGATGAAGAAAAAATGTTAAATTTGACAAAACACCGTTAAGGTGCAGATGTAGTACTAGTGCCGGGTATAAAATTTGCGACGCGTAAGAAGCGTCTCACACGTTCCGTCTCGTTTTTTTTCGATTTTTACATTTTAAATTTTTTTACATCTACATCTAAGCAAATTTTTACGCCAACACACTCTTTTAGCTAGCTCCCCGGCCCTAAAGCCGCACACTGCGCGAAGGACGTTTCCATCGATTTCCCCTTGGTATCAGCTTGCTGGTTGGTTGACAGCAGTCCCCCTAACTGGTTCCAGATGTGTATATCCAACAGCTTTTCCAGTGTTTAAGTAGAAAAGAGTTACGGATTATCGGTCTTTAATCCTTGGGGTTCATATGGCTGCACTTTCCTTTGGGAGTGTCAATCCTTTTCCATTGGATTGGGATATAGCCTGTGTTGAAAGATGCCGTATATATTGTGGAGAGCCATGGGGTGATTGCTTCTTTGGTCATTTGCAGCAAGGCTGGGAATGTTCCGTCCAGTCCAGGCGCTTTCATGGCCGTAAAGGAATCTATGGCCCCATGAATTCTCCGAGAGGTTGTAAGATCCGTGGGGGTTGTTGTACCTCAGTTGTTATGTCGTGATGGTTTTCGAAATTAGTGACCTCGGTGCATGTTGGGAAGTGAGTTTCCGTTAGTGCTGTCAGGGCTTCTGCGTTGCCCTCTGTTCACTGTCCGTTGTCTAGCTTGAGGTGGCTCTGTAAGGTAGGCTTTGAAAGCAGCTTCCGGAGTCTCGCTGTTTCAGGCACTCTCTCGTCGATATTGGAGCAGAAGTTCCCCCACGAGTTACGTCTTGCCTTACGTATTTTCTTCTTGTATTCCCTGAGTAGGGTTATGCATTCCTCGTCGATAATCTCTTCGTTCGCTTGTCTTGCGAGCTTGAAGAATTCCTTGAGGTTATTCCTTGGATAGTGTCTCTAGGGACGTATCTATGCCTTCCGCTGATTTCACTGGGCCCGGACTCGCAAGCTTCAAAGTAACCTACGACCTACGTCCTACGAAGGTGTGCTCCTCCCCCACGTTTGATACCTACGTACTTCACTTTTTTGTGTATAGGTGCATCAATTCGGCGTCCTTTAAGTCATTGCTCATTATGGAGAGTCGGGTGAGCTAAAATTGGTGGAAAAACAAACATAATTAAAATCTTTCAGAAAATGTTTGATGTGTCGACAATTGTCATCGAATGGAGATAATAATAATAAACGCAGGGCCAAATATAGAACAGGGACACCAACTAAAATGGCTAGTTTTCATACAGGTAAAATAAAAATATAACGAGGAACGTTGTGAGCCGTTTCTGTTTTCGCGCCTCTACTTTAACTCGTTTCGCCTCTACTTTTACACGTTTAGCTTTGTGGGGTCGTGGCGTAATTTTGAAACAAACCCTTCAGTTTGATAACGTAGGAGCCTGCACACAAAATTTGTTTGATCTAGCTAATATAGTTTTGGGAACTAGCTGTCAAACAATCCAGACGGGTCCATAGGCAGATAATGGCTATATCGACTCGTCTACAGATGCTGATTAAGAATATATACAGTTTAGGGGGTGGGAAAAACTTCCTTATGGGAATTACACACATGCACATCCAACGGACACCACAAACCCTACAAATAAAATGTATTGTTATGAAATGAGTCGAAACATTCCAAATTTGGAGTTATTTTGAACTGGGCTGGAGATTTGATGGAATATGCCGATGGCTGCGACGCTGATTTAAATTGACCGAACAAAGTGCGAATGCCGTATTTCACTGAATTAATTCATTTTCCTGTCCTTGGAGAGATCTCGTAGTTATATACATATCGGCGAACCTCAGCCGGGAAGAAAGCCACGAAAATTCCAATAATTCATATACAGCTAGTGAAGTCATAAGCACACCAAACGCACACCCAGAAATCTGCATGCCAGTTTTAAACCCTTAGGATTTCCTCAATGTAATCATTTTGCTTTATTTTAAATTTTACAACTAACGGTATCTTTACATATATAACATGTAAAAAATAGAATTAAGGAATAGTTAAAAAAACGTGTAGCGAGCCAGCATCCAGCCGTTTGATGTGTCTCCTATGTTTGCCAAAAGGTAAATGCAAAGCAAAACTAAATTCCATCATGGAAGAGAATGTGTGTGTGAATGAAAATAGCTGGATCCACAGGCGTAAAGGATAATGGGGATTCTCGCTGCGACTACTGGTGTGTTAGAGTTTTAGACCCGGCTCGCTTCTTCTCTGCTGACGTCCTGCATCATGACTCAAAATATAGGCTTACATCATGCCACCCATGCCGCCCATTCCTCCCATGCCGCCCATTCCACCCATGCCGGGCATTCCTGGGGCAGCATCGTCCTTGGGAATCTCAGTCACAACTGCCTCGGCTGTGGTCAGTAAAGAGGCAACACCGGAGGCATCCGTGATGGCCGTGCGCACCACCTTCGTGGGGTCAATGATTCCCTTCTCAATTAGGTTGCCGTATTCACCCTTCAGGGCATCGTAGCCATAATCTCCAGACTGAGTTTCTACCTTTGCCACGACCATGGCTCCATCAACGCCGGCATTCTTGGCAATAGTCATGCAGGGCATGCGCAGGGCTCGGCGCACGATGTCCACTCCAAGGCTCTGAAGAAGATTAATGATGATATAAATTAATTGAAGCTTAATTGATTGAAAAGCATCCTATTACCTGATCGGCATTCTGAACGGCTACACTGTCCAGTTTCTCGATGCAGCGGAGCAGGGCGGTGCCACCACCGGGAACGATTCCTTCTTCGACAGCTGCGCGAGTGGCATTTAGGGCATCGTGTACTCGGTCTTTTTTCTCGTTGACCTCAACCTCGCTGGAGCCGCCAACGCGAAGCAGAGCAACGCCGGAGGCTAGGCGAGCCAGGCGTTCCTGAAGCTTCTCCTTCTCATATTCGGAGGTGGTATCGCCAATTTGGTCCTTGAGCTGATCAACGCGTCGTTGGACGTCCTCCTTCTTACCCTTGCCCTTCAGCAGCAATGTGTCGTCCTTGGTAATGACCACCTCCCCTACCTGCCCAAGATCGCTGATCTTGACATCCTCCAGCTTGACGAGGTCAGCATCATCGCCAAAGACAATGCCACCAGAGGCGATTGCCATGTCTGTTAGGGTGGACTTGCGGTTGTCGCCGAAGCCGGGGGCCTTGACGGCGGCCACCTGGAGACCGATCTTCAGGCGATTCACAACCAGAGTGCTCAGGGCTTCGCCGTCGATGTCTTCGGCAATGATCACCAAGGGCTTGCGCTGCGTGTTCGCCAGCTCCAGTGCAGGAATAATGCTCTGGACCGAGGAGATCTTTTTCTCGGAAAGAAGCAGGAGAGCATCTTGAAACTCAACCTTGGCTCCCTTCGAAGAATTGATGAAGTAGGGCGAGATGTAGCCACGGTCGAACTTCATACCCTCAATCACCTCCAGCTCATCTGTGAGGGTCTTGCCGTCCTTGACTGTGATGACACCATCGCGTCCGACTCTCTTCATGGCCTCGCTGATCAAATTGCCAATGGCCTGGTCTCCATTGGCTGAGATGGTGGCAACTTGCGCGATCTCTTCGGGAGTCTTTACAGGGCGCGACATACTCTTGAGGTTATCCTTGACGGTTTCTACCGCCAGCATTACGCCGCGACGAATCTCAACGGGATTGGCGCCCTTGGATATCTTCTCAAAGCCCTCTTTGGCAATGGCTCTAGCTAGAACTGTGGCAGTAGTTGTACCGTCGCCGGCCTCCTCGTTCGTGTTGTTGGCCACATCCTGGACTAGCTTAGCACCAATGTTCTGAAATTTGTCCTTCAGTTCGATGGACTTGGCCACAGTTACACCGTCTTTGGTAATCTTGGGTGATCCCCACGACTGTTCGATGATTACATTGCGACCTTTCGGTCCCATGGTCACTGCCACCGCATCGGCCAGCACATCTACACCCTGCAGCATCATGGCGCGCACCTCGGCGCCAAACTTCACGTCCTTCGCGTAGCCCCGCATCGCCAGCTGGCGGCTGATGGAGGTTCTTGCAAGTGCAACAGGTAAGCGGAACATCTATGTAGAGAGATCAATGAAGGATGAGAATCAAGAATCAACTAAAAACCAACAAGAAGAACAAGCACGTGCACGTGGTGCCCGCAAACTTTGTGTGGCTAATTTAATATATTTCAGTACTTGATAAGCGTACCAAACAAACATCTTTAAAATGTTGTTAGTCTAATTGGAGCGGAGAAGAGTCGTAATTCCAAGGCATAATGCAAACTTAATTTCAATTTAAAAAACAACAACAAATTTGAGTTCATCGCTGATTTCTCTCAAGGGTGCGGGCTGTTAGCATATGTAGGCAAGACCTTCGATAGCAATTGTTCGAGGCCAACACTAACAGAAGCATCACCGAGCATTCCAGAAGAAATCGTTTATGTAACCCATGTAACCGAGTAGCGACCCTATTACGAAACACTAAAATAAGATGAAAGGAGGCGAAGCCATTGACCGGCCTCCCCAGTTGCCACATGAAATTCGCTGTGACATACATATGTGAAATTGTGTTGATATACCGGCGATTAGGGGAAAACCATGTGCCCCGGCTCTTGAACATTTCTCTTCAGTGTAAAATTTGTTCGACATGTGCGAGGAGTAGCTTTTTGGAGTACCATTCATATTTTATGTTAAACGGGGCACAATTTTCGAAAATATACCAATGAAGTCTTAAAAACATGAGTTGCAGAGCCTTTGCCTAGATTGTTCCATATTATATAACAGGTTCGCGCCAACACGCTCAGAGATATATTAAAACTCAGCGAAATCTGCGCGCAAATACACCAGAACACTCAAATGACGTTTTCACTTAAAGCTATTTATTTTTACTTACTTTTAATAGAATTAGCAAGGTATTTAAACAGAAGACTAAACTCAATTCAAATTATCTGACGCAAACGCTACGAATGTGCCGACACGTTCTGGTTGGAAAATCATCGGTAGTTGTCACCATCGTTAGAGTCCACTATCGAGCCACCGATAGTATCAATACTATTGGAACATTTTAGACAGCATTAAGGCCTAGTACTCAGACCCGAAAACACGTTTGCTGCCAAAAGCCTAGTGCTCAGATCGAAGAAAGGGGCCGCTAGAAAAATCAGGGACTTTCTAGCGGCTTTACGCCAGGCAGCAGTCAGATCGACAAAAAAAAGGCCGAACAAATCTAGAACGTCAGGCGATAGTATTTTGTGGTATCGATAGTATTTGGGTGGTATTCGTTGGTATGTTGCCAGCAGCTCGACAAATATAGATTTGTTTTATATTTAGAGGGGTACCTAGCAATCAGAGAGTAAAGTCTCAATCAAATGGAGGCAACAATGCCGCTGAAGTTTAAAGATAAAAGACCAACGTACTTCTAAACGAGCTTAGGTCATCACACGGCATCAAACGGCAAAGAAAGAAAACAATTATTATCGATTAATGAGATTATATTGAATGTGTGTGCATTTTAAACACAGATGCCTGATAAGTGTTTGAAATGCGTGGAATACGGGTTTCACCTCTGGTCACACTCTGCTGCTATCAAAATATGTTGCACAGTTTGCTAGCAAGCGTGTTTTTCGATCTGAGTACTAGCACTAAGCAAACAACACATAGAGGCTGCAAATTGAATAAAAACTGGCTGCATAATCAGTATAGTATAGTATAGTATAGTATAGTATAGTATCAGTATTGATGCCAATGCCTTCGGCTGAAAGAGTTTGGCGTTTGGCTCTCTTGAGCATTGAACCACTAAGCAAACAACATGTAGAGTGGTCAAAGTGACCTAAAACTGGCTACCTAATCAGTATAGGGGATTGACTCCCACATGGTAAAATTACTAACAAGGTGACGTCGTCAGCTGAGTGGAGGATCACCAGCTTATTCACAACGCTCTCTCAGCTTGCAGAGAGGCAAGCGCTAGCAAGAGATAGCAAACGTTTATTAGTAATTTACCATGATTTCACCATGAGCTGGTGTTCCTGGTCATGGTAGAATTACTAACAAGGTGACGTCGTCAGTTGAGTGGAGGAGCACCAGCTTATTCCCCAATCTCTCTCAGCTCTCAGAGAAGCAAGCGCTAGAGAGAGATAGCAAACGTTTATTAGTAATTTCACCATGATTTCACCATGAGCTGGTGTTCCTGGTGAGAGGGCACTGTGGCGAATCCGTCACCTAGTTACTAATTTCACCATGTTCCTGGTGAGAGGGCACTGTGGTGAATCCGTCACCTTGTTGCTCACACACTTCAGCTTGCAGTTAAGGATTTCCTTAAAATTGGTGCAAGTGATGCTCTTTTTCAGAAGGCTCGCAAGCTGGTTAAAGCTCTGCGGACATCAAACTACAGATATGTAAAGGTTAAAGACTTCCAGTTTCCTTCACGACGAACGCTAACGTAATTTTTTTTTATTTTTAAAGGCTTATAATTTCAAATGAAGGCTTACGTCAGCCCCTTCTTGACTTCAGCCATCTATTTGGATCCCAGGATGCGAAGGGGTTTGCTTAAAAATCCATTAAAAATTTTACTAACGAAGAACCATTTGACTACACTTTACAGGCAAATAAATGCAATTGCAAACAAAGTAAGTAACTTAAAGAATGAAGAATGCAATTGTTTTCGTAATTATTTTAATCTATGTTTACACTGTTAATTGCAGGACCATCTATTACCAGCTATAAGCTTAGATTCGCCACAGCCCACTGCGCATGAATTTGACCAGCCTTCCACAAGCCAATTTTCGAGCGCGTCACAGAGTACTTGCTCCTTGCTCAATGATTTCCTCAATTCTATTTAGGTTTCTTCAGGCAATGAGGAGTCAGATGAAGAGGAGGAACGTGAAGTTCAGCTTGCCATTAATGAAATACAAAATTATTGTCCGAAGCCAATTGACATAAATGCCAATATTATGGATTATTGGGAAGAAAAGAAATACATATATCCCCGCTTATATGAATTGGCCTAAGGTCATACATTGTGTTCCCTGAAACTGAACTGAAACTTATACGATCAGACTTGCGCTGCAATTTGTCCGCAAGTTCTATAAAACAACTTATGTTTTTAAAACTAAACAAATATTGAATAAATTCACCATTTCGTTATAATTCCCATTTCTTTCTTTTGTAGTGGGTGTTTGGGATTATTGGGATATGGTTTTATGGGTTTTTTTTTGCAAAGTAATGCACCGCATGGTACTGCAACATATTACGAAAGCTCAAAACTAAATATAAAGGAAAATAGTGAGATCCTTAAAATTCGTCCTTGAGGGACAAGCGATGTATCACATGAAAGGTGTTTTCTCAAGGATCAGGAATATACATACATTCATGATAACAAACCACTCAGTTCAAAGGACAATCAATTTAACTTTTATTTTTAACTTTTAAAGTAAAAGTTACGGAATAACTCTTATTTTCAACGATTATAATAAAAATACCTCTTAATTCTGATTTTTATTGAAAAAATTAAAAATGAGTATTATTCGTAACTTTCATATAAAAAAGTTTAAAATAATTCTCAGATTGCAATTTTTACTTTAAAAGTTATAATAGTTACGGTCTCTGATTAACATTACAGCGGAATCTCGCCAACCACTTTTTTCCTGGGGTGACTATAATTTGTGAAAAGATCTACATTCTGTACTAAATAAACCAATAACGAGAAGGGACGTGTGAGACGCTTCTTACGCGTCACAACTTTTATACCCGGCATCATATTGAAATACACTGGTTTCAGTGTGAGCATAGAGCAGTCTGGAGTCAAAATTTCGTGGCTCTAGCTTTTATAGTCTCTGAGAACTAGCCGACAAACAAGACGGACAGACGGACAGACGGACGGACGGACAGACGGACAGACAGATAGACAGACATACCTCTATCGACTCGGCTATTGATGCTGATCAAGAATATATATACTTTATGGGGTCGGAAACGCTTCCTTCTGTGCGTTACATACAACAGTTATTCACACAAATACAATGTGATACAAATATTTACTCTTTGAGTACCGGGTATAAAAATAGCTCCGCCAGCCATATTTTAACACAATACAAATTTGATTTATAAATACTTCATCAATTTAACTTAAAGATTTAAAGATATCGGCTCGATTTATAGATGAACGTATTAAATTGTTTTCACTCTTTAACTTACATTTTTACCCGGTACTCGAAAAGTAAATAGGGCATATTGTATTTTTCGACGCTAAATGAAGGCAAAAACGCAGCCGAAGTGGAAAGAAAAATTACTACACGATTGATCCGATTAGGCGAAGTCATGCCTCTGACGTTACGTCTTCCGGCTGGAAGGAAAGAAAGAGACGGAAATTCTTAGAATTCATCAGACTGGACCAGGTATCAATTTAATGAAAATTTTAAAACTACATTTGTTTAAGCCCGTACGACTCAAGTATTCATAAAATTGATTTTCTGCTCTATGCCTATTATGATAGGTCCAACTGCAAGCATGTAGTCTATCAGGGAATCCAAGTCAAACGGCCCCATCCTGTGGAAACAAATATTTGATTCAGAATACACTAGTATGCGAAGATGCATTACTCAAGATGCCCAGCATTGTCGCTAATTAAGCTGAACCCGTTTTTGCCATTGGCCAGGTATTCCATGACCACTATACGATACGTCTTGGCTATTTTGAGGGGCCTGTAACCGGGAACTTCGCAGTTGGAGCATAGCGCGCGCACACTAACGACACGCTGACCAGAGGCAGCCGTTAAGTTGTAGTCTACGCGGATTCCTGACACCTGTAGGAAGCGGGACGACCTCGCCGTCGACGAGCTGGCATTCATCGACGCCACACTGTCCTCCAACAGATCCCAAAGATGCTGGCCTCGTAGAGTCAGGGAAACCAGGCGATTTTCCCATGGGCACATGGCAACCAGCTGCTTGTATGTTATGTCTGTTGGGTGATTCAAGTGGACTCAAAGAAATTGTCGGTGCTATTCGTGTGAAAAACTTCAAACTTACTACCAGCTGGAATGGGAACCCGGAAGTTTCCTTGCGTTGTTAAGGCAATGGTCACATTGCTCCAATTAGTGCTGAAAGCGTTTGCATCCCTAAGAAACTAAAGATATTTTTAATGGTGAATTTCTGAATTCTCGATAGCGAATGGACGACTCACTGCATGCAGCATGGCGTCTGTGTAGAGATTGCCCAGGTTGCATTCCCCCATCGAGCACTCTTTTTGCTGAAGATACACTCGGCTCTGTCCCACAATTCTATTGGATGCGACTTCCAGCTTGGCTTGACAGGGCCGCAGGGACTGCAAGACCGCATAATCTTGAAATCAAGCCAAATTATTTCATATCATATGGAAGCTTTTGTTATGGAGTTTCAGTATTAAGATAAAGGTATTCAGAATTTCAAGAATAATAAACAATTTGATTTTTAATTTTTCGGACAAAAAGAAATTTATTGGAATAAGTCAAACAATACAAATTCATTCTGGGATCGAAAATAATCAGTTAAGCGCAGTGATGCGTCCCTCGAGTCCTACGTAAATGGGGTCTATGTGGGCCGTGTAAGAGATCAAAGCATCCACGTCCGTTACGCCCCGCCTGGAGTCAAAGAGTAAATTAATTTATTAAACCAGTGTAATTGGGTAGGGATTCAGGGAGGAGAGGATCGGACGTACTGGATGTCTGTGCCCTCTGCTAGCATGATGTAGCCATCACCGCCCTGTTGAAGAAAGTCCGGCGAGGTAACTCGGTAGAGCCTGTACGGATCTAGGGGCTCGTATACGGGGGTTTCGCAGTCAGCACAGCGAACATAGACGGAAACGATACGCGAATAGACAGGCTTGGTGTAGTCGTACTTGACTTTAATGCCCGAGAACTGTAAGTTAATGTAAGAGCTGGCCACCCCGTTCTCTAGGTCGATCTTGCTCACCGCATGCTCTAAGGCTGCGACGAGGCTGCTGCCAGGAAGATTGTAGGCCACTAGCGTGTTCTCGAATGGGGACATGCTTACCATGTGCGCGTAGGTGAGATCTGTATGGAGGAAGTGCAGTCAACGTCAACTGACGATCAGTGGATACGCCATCTTAATGTACTTACTGCCCCGGGGGAGCTTCACACGCAGACCACCAATGTTCATTAGGCCTGCGGAGACGTTTGTCCAGGCCTTCTGATCGAAGGGCGAGAGTCCGATGAACTAAAAGGTATGAGAGCGAGGTGTAATGCAAGGACGGCACTGGTAAGAGAGCTCAACTTACGGAATGCACCATGGCATCGCAGAAAAAGCTTCCTAGGTTGCACTCGCCGGCACCACAGTCATCCTTAGTCAGATCTACTTTGGTGGTGCCAATAACGACCTTACCCTGCCTATCGATGACCTCTTTCCAAGGTTTAATAACATCAAGAACGGCCTCATCTACGAGGAACACAAAGCACAACGCACGGAAGAATTAGCCGAGGATCAGTCCCGGACTCTTGCGGAGAGCCATTTCGCTATACAGCCCCAGCCTTAGCACCATACTCACCTTCGGGTACGTCTGCTCCCATGTAAATCGGGGCACCCTCGAAATCCAGAACGTCGCCGTTGTCATCAAAGTAGACAGTCAGATTGCCCACGTATCTGGCGTAGGCCGATGCCTGGACGATGAGCACACGGTGTCCGGAGCTGTGGGTGACTTCGGTGGGATAGTCGCCCGCTGGCTTGTGTGGACCTGGCGGGTCGCCAGTGTACAGGAAGGTGTGCGAGTGGGAACCGACAACTAAGTCGATCCAGTCACCTGCGTTGGCTGCGATCTCCTTGTCTACGTCGAAGCCGCAATGCGAGATTACGATAATTATGTTGGCCCCCTGGGCCTTTAGTTGCTGTGCCTCCTCGCGAATGGCGTCGCTCTCGTTGCGGAAAATCAATTTTCCTGTGTTGGCCAGGTCCTATATGAGAGAAGAAATCAATCGTGGTCGCCAAAAGATAACAAGTGGATCTACTATTTACGTATGTGGTCTCCAGTATAACGCCAATCAGTCCAATCTTGCGACCACCCCGCTCTATGATCATCGAACTGTTGTACAAACTCTCCATGGTGGGCTCGTGTGTACAGTCCATGTTAGCCACTAGCATGTTTGTGTCAATGGTCTCTAGGAAGGGAACAACGCCCTCGACACCGTTGTCGAACTCGTGGTTACCTAGCGTCTAAAATGAAAACATCATTGATAACATTAGCCAACAGCAGAAAAACGCTTTTGGCATAGCCCAAAGGGCTACCGCCAAAGGACGGTGTCTCCTCCAATTTTTCCTAATATCTTATCAGTTATCATACCCGGTACTCGAAGAGTAAATAGGAAAAAATGCAATACACCGAAGGAAGTGTTTCCGACACCACAAAGTACATACATATATCCTTGATCAGCATCAATAACCGAGTCAGTATAGTATATGTCAGGCTGTTAGTCTGTCCCTCTTGTTTGACGCCTAGTTCTCAGAGACTATAAGAGCTTAGACTTGTGTGAAGACTCATGTGATATCACACTGAATCAAGTTTGTTTCAAATTTTCGTCTCGCTCCTTTCCGCTCCACACAGGTCGAAAAACTGTTGTATCCGCAAAGAAATAAAAATATCAATACGTAGGGAATGACCATATCTATCAGGTCACCAAATTGAGATTCGATTGCATCATTATTGTAGCCAGAATGAAGAAATTAATGTGCAGTGGCTAACCCCACCACGCCAATTCTCTTTTAGGTTATCTTTCGTCTCTGAAATGCTACTTGGATTTGTCAATGCCTCGGCCACCGCTAAAGTCTTTGGAGCGGCACAGTGGGGACTCATTCGAAAATAAGCACAAATCGAAAAGTTTTACGAGCATTGGATATAATTACATTTAATTATTCACACAGTGTACGCTGAATACTCTAATGGAAAATATTTGGAAGCCAAGTCATTTGCCGTTATTCATTATTTGTATAATATTTAGATGTTTATAAACGTTTATCCCTTTCGTCCTAAATGTATTTAAGAAATATATGAGCATAGAGAGGATACACAAAATCAATGTTTTGTTTTTTGGGGCAAGCTTCATAAAGTCTTAAGTTTGAAGGAAGGGTATGTGAGCTCAGAAGCAACACAAAATTACAAACGTCTCAAGCGCTAAAAATGAAAACGC